GCAGTCCGGAGCAGTCAGACTCTGATGCTCTCAGGGAGTCCGGAACAGTCAGACTCTGGTGCTCCCAGGCAGTCCGGAGCAGTCAGACTCTGATGCTCTCAGGGAGTCCGGAACAGTCAGACTCTGGTGCTCCCAGGCAGTCCGGAGCAGTCAGACTCTGATGCTCTCAGGAGGTCCGGAACAGTCAGACTCTGGTGCTCCCAGGCAGTCCGGAGCAGTCAGACTCTGATGCTCTCAGGGAGTCCGGAACAGTCAGACTCTGGTGTTCCCAGGCAGTCTGGAATAATCAGTGTTTCCCTTGGTCTTCAGGAAATACTGTAATTCCCTGAGCGGTGTTAGCTCTTGACCATCTTTGAATTCTTTTTCTTAGTACAAGGCTCTGTTGCTGGTTTCCCTCTCACTCCTCTGACTACTACATTTCAACGAACATTTATGAAGCATATATATAGCACTTACCGGGGCCACAGCCATGCACAATTTTGTGGATCTGTACACAAATGAATCAGATGAGCCTGTGCCCATCGACCTCGGGGCTCACAGACAAGGCTCGCCCTGCCCGCATCACGGGCTCCCTTCCACCGCCTGCACCTGGACCTCTCAGTGGCCTCCGTGCCTCTCTTCCAGTTCTCTCCTCCACTGTGCTCTTTTGGAAAGGCTTTTCTCTCATGGCTTCAATCAGAAAACTGTATTCCCACTCCTATTTTCTCATCTGAGGTCAAGCATGAAATCTCCTCTTGTTTACCCTGAATTCAGCCAGCTCACCACGAGCCCTCTCTGCCTCTGTCAGCCTCTGTCAGCAGCTGCACAAGCTTCCCTTCTTCCCAGACCCCCACATCTGGAAACTGTCTTTAAGTCATCCTCCCGTTTTATTGTATGTCCAGGAATCTACTTTTGGGATTCCTCTGACCGGCCTCTTCCTTCCTTCTTTTCCTCCTCCCCACCCCACTGCCTCCACCTACTCTGGTCCCGAGGCTGTGCCCCTGCCCCAACCCTCCTGCTGTGCTCTTCCCACCCACGCCAGAGTCCTCTTCCTTAAATCCTGTCTGATCAGTGTCACTCTCCTTAAATGCAGAGATGATGTCTCGGCCTTTTATATCTCCAACAGCATCTAACCCAGCAGCTGGCACTTACTAGGGGCATCAGCGATGCTTGTTGTTCTGTGTGGCGAAGGCACACCTGGAGTCTGGATGATCAGTCTCAGCTCTCCACCTTTGCTGCCTTACAGAGGCTCCAAATTTGGAACATCTCCCACTGCCCTATTTAGGGAAATGCAGTCTCACAGAAGACAGTGAAACTGATAAAAGCATTGGGAAATGGAACCTAGGAAAGTTAAAGAATTGGCATCATTTGATGTGAGAAAGAGAAGCAAGCTGAGTATGGTGGCTCACGCCCCTAATCCCAGCACTTTGAGAGGCTGAAGCGGGCAGATCATGAGGTCAAGAGATCGAGACTATTCTGGCCAACATGGTGAAACCCCGTCTTTACTAAAAATACAAAAATTAGCTGGGCATGGTGGCATACACCTATAATCCCAGCTGCTCAGGAGGCTGAGGCAGGAGAATCACTTGAACCTGAGGCGGAGGTTGTGGTGAGCCAAGATCATGCCACTGAACTTTAGCCTGCCAATGGAGTGAGACACTGTCTTAAGAAAAAAAAAGATAGAGAAAGAGAAGTGAAAATGGGAGAGATTCTAGGGAGAAGGTTATGAGCCCTGTCTTTCTTGAGACAAGGGAGTGCACTTCCTTTGCTTCCACTCTTACGTGTATCATTGGTGAGACCTTTGATTATTTAATGCTTGGGTATTGTCCATGGTGTTTATCATCTGTTGTGAATCCGGACGTGGTCCCCAGACTGCGTGGTGCGGTCTAGGAGGCACAGGGCTGAGATGTGCTGCACGCACACTTCCCAAGCACATCCCCCCGGGAGAGGTGTGGGCACCACCATGAAGGGGACCCAGACCTCCTCCTTAAATGCCTGCCCTTTCACGGGGATCAGACATAGAGACAAGAACTCGCATAGAAAAGGGAGAGGCCTGAGGCACAGCAGGAAAGGTATAATTTCAAAGGAAGTGAAGATTTCCAGTGAGAGCTGTCAGGCTCTTGAAATGGGCTACAGAGAAAGCCCGTGGTCTCCTCTTTCCTAGAAATGCTAAACTAATAACAAAAAACCTCTCCACCATGGCTTTTATATATGCTTTTAGCTTTTGTATATACTCTCCCTGGTAGTTCTGAGTACATTCGCAAGCCCAGATCATAATGAATACTCACCTTTTTCCTGAAAGATGGTGTGTGGAGAATGTGTACAGAGGAAGCTAGGCTATCGAAGATTTCATAGAACTCAACAGCATTAACAATGGATACTTTTAGTGAGGTCCGAATGTTTTTGTTTATTTCTTTGACTCGACAAACATTTATTGAGGAAGGCCTTCCTCTGTGCCAGGCGAGATGGTTGCTGAAGAGACAAAGATGCATGAGAGATGGTCCCTGCTTTTAAAGCACACACCATCTAGCAGGGAAGATAACCATGAGCACAAATAATCATATGTGTTACAAAGAAGCAATTATCCGGTTCAGAAGAAGGTTCTTGATGGAGGATGGCTGCAGAGCAGAATTAGAGTCAGTTCGAAATTCAGCTTTCTCAAGCTTTGTCATTTCTATCTTGTAATAGCCTTATTTTCCCTTTTTAAAAATGCTTATTTCTGAATAGGTCACAGTCAGATGGTTCCTATACTGAAACAGTTTAGAAAGGTGTTTATTGATGTCTCGCTAGCACCCCCATCCCCACCTACCCAATTCACTATGCCCTCCTCCATCGGAATAAGGAACCATTGTCTATTAATTTCTTGAGTATATATCCAGTGTCTTTCCATGCAAAATAAAACATATACATGTTGTAAACATTTCCCTTTCTTACATGAGAGACAGCATACTGTTTGCCCTGTTAATTTAACAGTATATCTCGAGATCTTACCACCATGTCAGTACGTAGACTGCATCCTTTCCCTTTCTTCCTAGGTAGTGTAATACTTCCTAGTATTGTATTGTTTTGGAGATATCAGGGTGTGTCAGTTATCAATTGCTGCATAACAAATTACTCCATGACATAGTGGCTTAAAACAACAACCCTTTTATTAGTCATAATTCCATGGGTGAACTGTTTGGCCTGGAATCTGCCGAGGGTTTTTTTACTGCTGGTTTTGCCTGGATATGCTCATATGGATGTGATTATTTGGGGCTAGATGGTCTGATGGCCTGAGTCACAACAGGTGGGTGGGAAAGTCTGGCTTCAGTTGGAATATGTGCCTTGAGTAAACTAGACCTAGCTGCTTCATATGGTGACTGGGTCCCAGAAACAGAGAAGGACTGGCCCCTCTGAGGAGGTTTTATTAAGCTTCTAGGTGCATACCGTTGGTTAATGTTCCATTGGCAAAAGCAGGTCATGGGGCCAAGCCCCGAATCAATATGGAAGGAACTTCAGGTTGAAAAATTCACTGGCTGTCCTTATGTAGATATCATTGGCTATTACTACCCGTGGAGTAATTAACCAGCCCTTGTGGATGGACACCTGTTTATTTCCAGTCTTGTGGTATTGCAAATAATGCTCCAGTAGACACTCTTGTGCATAAGTCAGTTCATATGCGAGCAGGGTAAGAACCACCAGAAGCAGGTTGCTGGGTGAAAGGGCAAATGCCTTCTAAATGGTCTCTCCTATTTCTGTGGTGCTGTTTCTCTACATATTTGAAGCTTTGGTTTTTCTGTCACTTGTGCAGGAGCTTTGAAAATGTGAAAAGACTTTAGATAGGAAATGTATAGACTGAATTAATTAGAAACTCATTCCTAAAAATAACAAAAAGTAAACACGAAAGCAAGACTAGAAATCAAATAATTTTGAGTAAAGTAACATATATGCATTATTTGAAGAAATATAAGTTTGTCTGTTATAACAAGGTTTTACATTTCCATTCTGTTTACAGCATAGAAACACTGTTTGCTTTTAGCATCTCACTTAATTCTCAGGACAACTCTATGAGTTGAAAATATAATTGGCCCCATTATATGTGTGTGTGTGTGTGTGTGTGTGTGTGTGTGCGCGCGCGCGCACATATATATGAATGTATTTAAAGGCTTAGTGAAAGTTACCTAACTTCTCTCAACTAACAAGTAATAGCCGGAATATATACCCAGCCCTGTGACAATAAACTTGGCGTTGTCCCATTAACTGCATTTTACTAGTAGGGACTTGAATTGTATCGGCTTAGCTTCAAATGACATACATTTGCTCAACTTGCTGACTGCTTTGCTGGTATGATCACAACCATAGATGGTATCGTCTCAGGAGGCTCTTTTTAAAAATATGTAAGTAGTTAATTTCTAATTTCTGAATAGGTAGGGAACCTCCCTAAAGTTTTCTCTTGTTTTACACATGTCCTTGGCACCCAGGTTGAGAGCTCCATCTCCTAATCATAGTCTCTAGTACATCTTGGAGGAATTCTCTTGAAGCCCAGGGGCTTGCTTTCAGACTTCAGAAAAGAGGCGTTGTTTTTAAATAAAACCTCGTCTGGCCCTCCTGCAGTGGGTGCGGAAGGTAGACTGTTTTCTTTCTTTCAATTCACACTCAGACGTTTTCATAAGGGGCTTGGTCCTGGCAAAGTGGGCCTCACATACAAACCACCCACTTCCCCGAAGCGTGATTGATTAGCAAAGCTGTTCTGCTCAAGGCCAGCCTGCTTTCCCCAGCCTGGGTGCTGACAGGTCCGACATGCACAGATTTTCAAACAGGTCGCCAGTCCCCAGGCTGCAGGCTGCAGGCCAGGACGCCTGTGCTTGAGGGAGAAGAGAGGAGAAGGAATCCACTTCAGGGGCAAGAATTAAGCCACATTATAGAACTCCCAAGACACGGCAGTGTAGGCCAATGCAGTCCTTGTTGAGAGAGCCCCTGATGGTGTCGGGTGCCAAGAAAACCATAGCTGCAGAAGACACGCAAAGCAAAGGTGAGTATAAAGATGTTTAGGCAAAGCCTGTGCACGTGGGACTGATCCTCATTTGTCCAAGAACCTCTAAACATCAAAGAGAGGCATACATTTAAAGAAAGATAAGAATTTGATGCCTAGTCCAAGTAGTCTGTGATGGAAGTTTGGAAATCCAGCCAAGCAATGACACTGTCAACAGAACGAGGTACGGATCGTGTCTTTGCATGTTTGTCTCTGTGGCATCTAACAGCGTGTCTTTTATGAGTAGAATCTGCATAAATATATAGTCACAAAATGTTAGAGCTGAAAATAATCCTAGAAGCCATCTTGTCCAGGCCTCACTATTTTAGGAGTAAGTTAACTGAGGTACAGACAGCTTAGGTACATGGCCTCAGTTGTTCTGAGTCAGAACCAGGTCGTCTAAACCTTAGTAAAATTCATTGTAAAATCGTGCTGTCATTATTTTAACAAATGTTATGTGAATGCAGGAATACATATATTTTTTGGAGACCAAGTCTCGCTCTGTCGCCCAGGCTGGAGTGCAGTGGCCTGATCTCGGCTCACTGCAACCTCCGCCTCCCAGGTTCAAGCAATTCTCCTGCCTCAGCTACCCAAGTAGCTGGGATTACAGACATGCACCACCACACTTGGCTAATTTTTGTATTTTTAGTAGAGACGGGTTTCACCATGTTCGCCAGGCTGGTCGCGAGCTCCTGACCTCCAGTGATCCCCCTGCTTCGGCCTCCCAAAGTGCTGGGATTACAGTCCTGAGCCACTGTGCGCAGCCAAAGGAATACATTTACTTTCTTTTCAAAGAGATTGATTTAAGAGCCACTGATTCAGTAAAATCATGGAAAGTCATCTCCTTAATTTACTTATATATTAAACAAAGGAGATTCACTCCAGGTGCCTTCTATTAGGGGTGGTGGGAAAAGAGAGGGTTATAAGATCAATTGACTAGTGTCTTTTGAAAGACTTTGAGGAATTTGGTTCTTAAGACATTTTGGCTATCTTACAGAAAGTCTTAAATGTCAGAATTGGGTGGAAAAAAACGTAACTTTTCTCACAATGGTTTGTTATATGCTCAAGGTGTAGATAGCCTGGTAGGGAAAATTCAGCCCACGATTGAGAGTGATCTCTATGTATGTACGTCAGTAAACTGGATATCAACCTAGCAGCACAAGCAGAAATCATCAAGATGGAGGACCCCCAGCCTGTCCCTTGACCTCTGCTCTGTAATCCTGCCTGCACATTGCTCATTTGATTCACAGTATACCTGACTTATTCAAACTTCCCGGGGCTGATGGAGCTGAGGGTGCAGCGCATTCAGTGGCTCCATAGGAATGCCACCCCTTCATTCAAAGCTCAGTTTGGACCGGGAACAGTGACTCATGCCTGTATGCAGGCACTTCAGAAGGCTGAGGTGGGAGGAGACCCACCATCTCTATAGCGAGACCCCCATCTCTATAAAAATATTTTAAAAATTAATCGGGCACGCTGGCACAAACCTGTACTTCCATCTGTTTGGGAGACTGAGGCAGGAGGATCACTTTTTCCCAGGAGTTCATGAGTTTTCTCCCACCTGTATTGAGCTATGGTTGCACCACTGCACTCCAGCCTGAGTGACAGAGCAAGACCCTGACTCAAAACCAAACAAAACACAAAATAAAGCTTGACTGGTTTTCCCATCCCATGGTCCACTGCCAACTCTGTCATCTTTGGCTCTTGACTGCCTTATACCTGGGAATGTAGGGAGAAACTTTTGCCAACCCCTTCAAAGATGGCTTTGACGATCTGTTGTCATGAATAAATTTTGACACCTGACAAAGGAGTGTCTAGAATCTTCTTTCCTTTCCAAAGTGTAAGAGGTCAGATGTAGCGCCCCTTTTGGGATATAAATCGATGTCAGCCACTGGGAACGTTTTAGAAGCCCATTTACCACCACCTGCAACGGTGCCTCAGATTTGGTTTCCTGTGTCACAAAGAAAAACCTGCAAATACCTAAAAGTAAGGATTCCAATGAAATGTGGGTTCCACTTCACTGTGTTTGGTGTGGGAGGCTGTGTGAGTCTAACTCTAAGAATACCGGTAGTGGTATCTATCTTCATTCTAAGAATTGAGGGAGGTGAGGTTTGTGCAGAATTAAATCACCCTGTCATATCTGTGAGGCTTCCTGCAGAACGAAGGCAAATCAACCCAAACAAACACAACAGGGATGTGTCGGAAACAGTCAGGGGTGCACGTCTGGAGGTGACGAGCTGAGCCTTGAAAAGATCCTTCGCGTGCGTGTGCGTGTGCATGTGCGTGTGTCGTTTTGTTTGTTATAGTTTTGGTCCATACTACCATATTTACGGCATGTTTGGTGGTTGGAAATGTCAGGATTTCTTGACTGAAAAAGGAAAGGAGATAAGAGATTCTGCCACTCACAGCACAGAAGTGGGATGAGCCCAACTATGGTGTACACGTGTGTTTATGTCTGTGTGTACATGTCTGTGTCATCTCCATGTGTTTCCGTGCAAGTGTCTGTGTGTCTGTGCATATGTAGTGTGTCTGAGTGTCTATATCTGTGTGTGTATGTCTGTGTACATGTGTCTGCATGTATGCCTGTGTGTGTCTCTGTGTATGTGTGCATGTGTTATATGTGTGTCTGTTTGTGTGTTGTGTGTCTCTGTGTCTATGTGTGCATGTGTCTGTGTGTTTCTGTGTGTGCATGTTGTGTAGTGTGTGTATGCCTGTGTGTGTCTCTGTGTATGTGTGCATGTGTTATATGTGTGTCTGTGTGTGTGTTGTGTGTGTCTCTGTGTCTATGTTTCTGTGCATGTATCTGGGTCTCTGTGTGTGCATGTTGTGTAGTGTGTGTATGTCTGTGTGTGTCTCTGTATCTGTGTGTTTGTGCATGTCTGTGTGCATGCTATTTGTGTGCATGTGTCTGTATCTCTGTGTGTGCATGTGTCATGTAATGTATGTCTGTGTGTGTGTCTCTGTGTGCCAAGTGCATGTCTGTGTGCATGTTGTGTGTGTACATGTGTCTGTGTCTCTGTGTGTGCATGTGTTGTGTAGTGTCTGTGTCTGTGTGTCTCTGTGTCTGTGCATGTGTCTGTGTTTCTGTTGTGCGTATGTTGTGTAGTGTCTGTGTGTGTCTGTGTGTGTGCCTATGTTGTGTAGTGTCTGTGTCTGTGTGTCTCTGTGTGTCTGTGCATGTCTGTGCATGTTGTGTGTGTGCATGTGTCTGCGTCTCTGTGTGCGCATGTGTTGTGTATGTATGTCTGTGTGTGTGTCTCTGTGTGTGCATGTGTTGTGTATGTATGTCTGTGTCTGCGTCTCTGTGTGTGCATGTGTTGTGTAGGTATGTCTGTGTGTGTGTCTCTGTGTGTGCATGTGTTGTGTATGTATGTCTGTGTGTGTGTCTGTGTGTGCATGTGTTGTGTATGTATGTCTGTGTGTGTGTCTCTGTGTGCGCATGTGTTGTGTATGTATGTCTGTGTGTGTCTCTGTGTGCGCATGTGTTGTGTATGTATGTCTGTGTGTGTGTCTCTGTGTGTGTGCATGTGTTGTGTATGTATGTCTGTGTGTGTGTCTCTGTGCACGCATGTGTTGTGTATGTATGTCTGTGTGTGTGTCTGTGTGTGCATGTGTTGTGTATGTATGTCTGTGTCTGCGTCTCTGTGTGTGCATGTGTTGTGTATGTATGTCTGTGTGTGTCTCTGTGTGTGCATGTGTTGTGTATGTATGTCTGTGTGTGTGTCTCTGTGTGTGCATGTGTTGTGTATGTATGTCTGTGTGTGTGTCTCTGTGTGCGCATGTGTTGTGTATGTATGTCTGTTTGTGTCTCTGTGTGCGCATGTGTTGTGTATGTATGTCTGTGTGTGTGTCTCTGTGTGTGCATGTGTTGTGTATGTATGTCTGTGTGTGTGTCTCTGTGTGTGCATGTGTTGTGTATGTATGTCTGTGTGTGTGTCTCTGTGTGTGTGTTGTGTATGTATGTCTGTGTGTGTGTCTCTGTGTGTGTATGTGTAGTGTATGTATGTCTGTGTGTGTGTCTCTGTGTGTGTGTGTGTTGTGTATGTATGTCTGTGTGTGTGTCTCTGTGTGTGTGCATGTGTTGTGTATGTATGTCTGTGTGTGTGTCTCTGTGTGTGTGTATGTGTTGTGTATGTATGTCTGTGTGTGTGTCTCTGTGTGTGCATGTGTTGTGTATGTATGTCTGTGTGTGTGTCTCTGTGTGTGCATGTGTTGTGTATGAATGTCTGTGTGTGTGTCTCTGTGTGTACATGTGTTGTGTATGTATGTATGTGTGTGTCTCTGTGTGTGCATGTGTTGTGTATGTATGTCTGTGTGTGTGTCTCTGTGTGTACATGTGTTGTGTATGTATGTCTGTGTGTGTGTCTCTGTGTGTGTACAGGGGCATACCACAGTCAATGCAAAACCATCTTCCTTCACCCTCACGGTTCTCTCCTTCCTCAACCGGAAGCCACTCTGCTTTGTTGTGAAAACAAATAAACTACTTTCTTACAAAAGAAAGACCAAATAACCTGAAAAGCTCAAATAAAATCCACCTTATGACACAATATTAAAAACATAGAAATTTTCAGTGGAGAAAATCCCACACCAGGCTGAGGAAGCCAGGCCAGCTTAACTGGAGTCTCTGCTTGTTTTATACTTCTTTTCTACTCTCCACTCCCATCTGCCAACAAAACGATGCTCTCTCACAGGGGATGGATTCACCCCTCAACATCTGACTGACATGCTTTTTTCATTTGAATTCAAAATATTGAAATGAGGATGGGAGATTGAATATTGCATCATCTTATACAAGCTTCCTCCCTTCTTCCTTTCTTTCCTTTTCTCCCTTCCCTGTTCTGTTCCTGTTGTGACCTTTCCCTGATTAAACAGATGTGGACATGCAGAAGCCAACTGTAGGAGTGACTGACGCCTCCCAGACACTGCCCTCTGAGGTAGCTGTCACCAAAGGATTGTCACTGAAAATGCAAGAAGAGTTTGGCATTTGATTGCATCCTGCACAATTCAAGCAGGACAAATTGCTGCAGAAGATGATATCAGAAATAGCCACCAGGTAGTAGGTTCTCACCACATGACAGACACAGTGCTGCTATAAGCTTGTGACTTGCACTGTCTGAGCCCTGCACACCTCTAGCAGGGACAAGTATTTGCTCCATTTTCAGACCAGGAGACAGAAGTTCAGAGAAGGTGAACCGTCTGTCAGCGGTCACACAGCTAGGAAGTGGCGGGTGGAGCTTAGCTGGATTTGGACTCTGAAGACCACGCATTTTGTCACGTCCACATCTTTACACAGATCCAAGCCCTTAGGCACACATTAAAATCTATTTCCATCCACATGTGTTTGGCAACCACATGTCAACAAGCCATAACTTTCTTACCTATTTCAGGAAGACATTATTTTCTTTCACCTGTGTTTATCATCATCCTATTTCTGTTTCAAGAAATCAAAACATGTGAAGATAGATTTGAAGAAGAGCTTTTTTGGCCATTTCTGGTGGTGAGATACAGACAGGAAGATGGAGTTCAGGTGCTAAAATGTTGGAATTTCTGATGCATATTCATGGTTAGAGGGAAAGTCAATTGCACAGTGGAATTAAGAAATCTGAGAAATATAGGAAATCCAAGCTGAGAAAAACTCATTAACTATGATGCGTCCAGTTGCAGGAAACTTCAGGTCCTTCTCTGCGCCCAGCCTTCCTGGAAGGATTTTATTAAAACAGTTTTTTTAATTTTTATCTCATTATTTTTAATTGACAAATAAAAATTATATATAGAGGCTTTTGTATTTTATCCCATATGATAAAGGGCTGAACAGTTGTTTCTTGCTGCCAGAGTTAAGTGAGAATATTAACAGCATGCAGTGTTCAGCTCTGGTTAATTTTCAATAGGCTCATTTGCCTTTGATCTTTTTATTTCAGAGCCAAAAAAAGACCATATATAGAGAGAAATGATCACATTATAGCTCCTCCTTCCATATGAGAAGCTCAATCTCTACTGGTTTCTCTCCATCGAGAAGAAGGTTTTAGTAACCAAGTGACTAAGTTACCTGGCTAAACTTCCCCTCCTTCTTCATCAATACCTAATTAGTATTGATGCTTTTCTTGGCAAAATCTCATTTCAGAGCCAACACAAATGAACTTTTTCCATAAATGAACCTTCGAAAGTGTGTATTTGAGATATTTTTAAGCCTAAGAAAATAGTTTTTAAGCAAGTTATACATTGATTTCCTCTTACTCTGAAATATTTCTCAAGTGATTTTTCCTGAAAGATTCTTTGTGGTTCATTGAACACAAACAACAAACCATGTACCAGGTCTGGTAGAGGTTACAGGTGTAGGTAACTTGGCGTTTGTTCCCAAAGAGCTTAGGTCTCCAAGAGGAAATAAGACACTTCGACAAATAGCCATAAGGCGAAATAGAGAATTGTCCAGTGCTGTAAATTAACTGCTGATTCCTCTGTACCTAAAAGCTGGTTAAATTATAGTTTTATTGAATGCTAACAAACTTTTATTCCCCTCCTGCATGGAATGTTGAAAACCTTTTATTTTCTCTGGGCTATAATTATGGTGACCACATTTTCCATAGCAAAAATTAAGACACATCGTCTGACAAAGGATTCTTGTGCCACTTCTAGGTGTGAGACCACCCATACTTAGATTTTTTTAAAAGCAGGCTTTTTTAGGCAGGCCCTATAAAAATAGAGGTTTGTTAAATAGGTGTGTTTTTAGACTTTTCATTAAAAGCCTACAATACAAACAATATTTTATTTTGTATCTGAATCAACATGTTATACCCTAAAGCACTATTTTACAGCCTAAGGGTATATGTTAGTCTATTCATGAAAACATACTGCTGCATAGAGTAATAATACCTGCCATTATCTAGATGTAATAAAAAGGTCCCAAGTGGTCCTCTCCAGGTCTTTAATTTTCCTTTTGAAGATAAAGCTCCTTCTTTCACTTTCAAGGTTCAAGGTTTTTGAAGCTTGCAAGTGGTTGCCATTGAGGTGTGCCAGATGTGAGCAATTGTGAGCACAGCACTTTGAAAGAAGGTGAAGGAGTGACTTTTTCTTCCTTATTGTCTCCCACGACTCTCATCTGTGGTTTCTACACAGGTAGCTTTTTCAAGACAGCCAAGCATGGGAAGGGAAACCAGCCAGGGCTGCTGCAGTCCAGGCATGGGACCTCTGAAGTGAGGAGGTAGAGGCAAAAGAGGCCAGGATCCGTAACTTCCAGATGATGAAATCAAGGCCTGCTGGACCAAGATTCAATGACTTTCTCAAAGCCACAGAGCTTGTTGGTGACACAGTTAGCTCTAATCCCCAGCTCTCTGAGCCAGGGAGATTTCTGTTCCCACTGTGATGTTTCCTTGATGTTCTGGGTCTCTCTGGTTGATTTCCATCCACTCCGATGTTGGGTGCCCCCCCTACATGTGACTACATAATTCTGGAGTTGTAATTCTAAAATGATATGTCACTGCACTATCATGGAAAAATAAGCTGGAAGACCTGGAGAGGTGATGCCTGCCACTGATGGCTCCTCTGTAGAGGTGATCTTGCAGGTTACCAGGACTTCCACAGGCCGGCTCTCAGATGGAGCTAAGTTCAAGGCAAGCCTTATATACCATGGTTCCTGCTCTCCTTGGTGTCACTGACCTGCTGCTGATCCAGGAGCCCTTGGGATCAGACTTTTCCCATTGATGCTTTGTTTACAGTTAAAATATTACAGTATTTAGTGTGACCACTGCTCTATTTATTATATGGTTTTGCTACTTAACTATTTTGGAACATGGCTGCACTTATAAGTTATCTGCTGATTTTTTGGGGGTTCATAAGCATAATGATTGGGTATTCACAGTCATACATGAGATGTGCCAACCTCAACCTCTATGCTATAACATATATATAGTAATCATTATAGCATAATCTGCTTTCATAACAGCCAGCTTCCTTGTTACATCAGCACTTTACCTGCCTCATGTGCGGTGGCTCACGCCTGTAATCCCAGCACTGTGGGAGGCCAAGGCGGGCGGATCACTTGAGGTCAGGAATTCAAGACCAGCCTGGCCAACATGGCAAAATCCCATCTCTACTGAAAATACAAAAATTAGCCAAGTGTGGTAGCATATGCCTGTAATTCCAGCTACTAGGGAGGCTGAGGCATGAGAATTGCTTGAACCCGGTGAGGGTAGAGGTTGCTGTGAGCTGAGATCACACCACTGCCCTCCAGTCTGGGTGACAGAGCGAGACTCCATCTCAAAAAAAAAAGAAAGAAAATTATAAAATGTATGTATCTCTTTCATTAAAAACATATCCAATAATTCCACCAAGATATTTGACTGACCTTCACATTAAACCTCATTCCACTGTAACCTCCCATTCATTCATTTCACTCAATGGCTATTTATTGAGCAACTACCATTTGGCAGACACTTTTCTGTTTCAGCGTCAAACAAATAGATAAAAATTCCAGCCTGTTTTTTGGTTTATATGGGATTGGATGCTGCTAATAACTGTATCAAAAAATAAAAACTATTAGCTTGCCAAAAATTTGGATTAACATGGGAGCAGAGAACTAAAGGAAAAGGGAACTCAACATTTATTGAATGTCAGTCTCTGTCATGTGCTGCGTTGTGTGGTTTATCTCAGTTAATCATCACAGCTGCCCTGTGAAAGATGAATGGGATTATTTTTATTTTCTACAGATGAAGAATCAAGATTTAGGGATATAGTATATCTTGCTTAAGGTCATACTAGTAAGGGAGTAAATTAACATCCATCTTTTCAATACCCTGCTAGATGTGATGATATCATTTTAGAAAAATACATTTGATATGGGAACCATATATGGTTCCCATATATGGTTGATATATGGACCATCATACTGAAACGTCAGGGCACATTTTTGCCCACTAATAATATATATCAAGGAATGTCATTCACAGATGAATGGAAAAGAGAAATTTGTGTATGTGTATGTGTACACATACACACACACACACACGTTACTCCACCTGAAAAGTATTTTCATATGCAATAACATGGATAATTCTTGAGGACATCATGCTCAGTGAAATAAATCAGTCACAGAGGGACAATGATTCCACTTACATGGGTATCTACAGTAGACAAATTCACAGAAGCGGAGAACACAATGGTAGTTACCAGGGACTAGGGGAAGAAAGAAATGGGAAGTTGCTTTTCAACAGTAATAAAGAATAAGCCAATCTCATTTAAGTGTCCATAACACACACACACACACACACACACACACACACATAAATGTCACTTTAATGAAGTCGCTTAAAACATCATTTGAGTTGTAGTTAAGTTTTTGTTCCCCTGATCGTTTATGTAGCTTTATCTATATTTCTGAATAGAGTAATCACTCCAGTTTCGTAAACAAGCATCTTCCATGGAATACCTTACCCCAGATTAGCTATTTGATGACCACAGTAACATGTGCTTCTCAGATAACACATGACCTCTCATTTGGCTCAGAACTTAGTGGTTAACTTTGCTAAAAATAGGTCTTTAATGGTTGAGTGTGACATTTCATCACCGGGTGTTATCTGGGAGTTTTTCTCTTCATACATGAAACAAGTATGGCTGTAGAATTGATTACCCTTGTTTCCTTGATGAAATACGTTCAACATTTCAAAGATATTGAAAATGTTTGTGGCCAAAGTTAGTTACACAGAAGTATGAGATCTGTCAGCATCTGGGGACAAAACCCTCTGTGTATTGAAAACATAAAAGTAGGCAGGGCAGCATTTCTAGAGAGGAGTGAGAAGCTGGATTAAGTCTGGATGCTGGGGCAGGGGTGGGGGAGGAGGTCTTGCTGATGTAGGTCTTGACCAGGTTGGTGCTGATGCAATGGCAGGTGCTGCAGCTGTGATATCCCCTGGTGATGTCATTCCAAGGAGCCAGCTGCCATCAGTGCTTTCCAGACCCTGGCTTTTTGGGGGAGGGGCACCAAAAGATACAGGAGTAGATGTGCACCCCAGGAGATCTTCTGCCATCTTGTTGGCCATCTCTCCAGTTTGGGGTCTTGGCAGAAGAATTGTGTGAGCCATGCTTTTTAGCTTGTCTTATCACCCCAAGTACTTCCCGTCATCCTAGAATAATAGCCAGGCTCTTGATCTGACTTCCAGAATCTGACACTGGCTTCACGCTGATTCTCCAGCCTCAGCTCTCACCAGCTGCACACTCTCCCATTGCTCGGGGGCCACTCAAACTGACTTTCTGATCCCCCAAACACATCAGGGTGCTCCCTCTTTGGGGTCTTCCACTATTTGTGACTTCTGCCTGCATTGTACTGCCCCTAACTTTCCCACTGTTGGCTCCTTCTTGCCTTTCAAATCTCAAACGTCACTTCCTTAGGCTTCCTGGAACACCCAGTCATTCCCTCTCCTATCGTTCCATTTTAATTCTCTGAATATTTTTATACAGTCAACGCTGTGCTTGTTTATTCTTTCAGATCCATGAAAGCAGGGACCATGACTGCCGTAGTTCCGACAAGGCTCCCAAGCCCTAGGCAAGCACCCTGCACATGGTAGTTCAATGAGTGGTTGTCAGATGAAGGAAGGAGGCACTCAGGCTCTAGGTGATTTAAATGTAACAAACGTATTTGTAGGTTATGTTTTAATAATGCAAAAGAAATGAAGACCAGGTCCATTTTCTTTTTTAATTTCATATATCAGCCTCAACATTTAGCTATTTCTTATTGGTCAGAGATTAACTAATCACATACAACAGGCTGTCCTAAGGGGATTCAAATGCACTGCTCTTTTCAATGATTTGCAAATGCACCGACCTAAAACCTCGTCTCTGGCACAGATTTCAGAATCTCCACTTAACACATCAGAAACCTTTAGGGCTTATCCTGAACTCCAAGGCTGGCTTAACTTCTGCAGTAAGCAGCTGCTTATGCATGGATGCCCACATTGAGTGATTTCACCAGAAACCCCCCTCAGCTACTTAAATAAACTAGGATATATTTCATACTCACAAAGTGTTTTTTCATATGAGTAGGCTAGTGACACTATTGAATACAAATGACTTGTTTTTCAATATACTGGAAACTCACAGAATTTTTTCTGCCTCAAAAGTGGAATTCAGTTGAAGATGAGTCTGTCCTTAGAAGACTCTTATTGCAATAACAATAAAATAAATACTACAATAACATTAAATACTATAATAAAATAAATGCTACAATTTTATTTTATAGTAAAAATAAGTAAAATAAAGACTTTTCAAGAAACAATAGATGCTGGTGAGGCTATGGAGAAATAGGAATGCTTTTACACTATTGGTGGGAGTATAAATTAGTTCAACAATTGTGGAAGACGGTATGATGATTCCTCAGAGATCTAGAACCAGAAATACCATTTGACCCAGCAATCCCATTACTGGGTATATACCCAAAGGAATATAAGTCATGCACATGTATGTTTATTGCAGTACTATTCACAATAGCAAAGACATGGAACTAACACAAATGCCCATCAATGATAGACTGGATAAAGAAAATGTGGTACATGTATACCATGGAATACTATGCAGCCATGAAAAGGAACAAGATCATGTCCTTTGCAGGGAGATAGGTGAAGCTGGAAACCATCATCCTCAACAAACTAACACAGGGACAGAAAAACCAAACACTGCATGTTCTCACTCATAAGTGGGACCTGAACAATGAAACACGTGGACACAGGGAGGGGAACAACACACTGGGGCCTGCTGGGGGTGGGCAAGGGGGGGTGGAGCATTAGGACAATAATTAAAGCATGCAGGGCTTAACACCTAGGTGATGGGTTGATAGGTGCAGCAAACCACCACGACACACGTTGACCTGTGTAATAGATCTGCACATTCTGCACATGTATCCCAGGGCTTAAAGTAAAATTTTTAAAAATAAATAAAATAAAATAAAGACTTCTACTTACTGGGATAGCCCCACTGTTTCTAGGGTTGAGAACCATCTCCAGTAGCTTGAACTTCAGAAGGAAAGGAGAAAGGAGAATTCCCTTGCAGGGAGCATGGGGTGAGTGGCAGTTGTGTTCCTGCCATCTGGAAGTGAAACGTGGACTTTAAATATTGACGTATGTCTCACAATACTATTGGTGTCCACAGCTTCTGATACTTCATAGGACATCCCTTTGTACTTGGGATCTAACCTTATTAATTTAGAGAAAATATGTAGATCGAGTTTCAGAAACCTGACCTTAGAAAAGATTTTTTAAATAAGTAATGGGCTGTCATTTGTATTGGCAGGTCACACAGAATGTCCTGTGGCACAGAAGGTTTTTTGTAAAGCTCTGCGTTGCAAGCCAGTTCTTTATTTGCTCTCATCTCAGGGTACTGATTGCTAATTTGGAGATGATTATTTAGGGTGGATTCAACAGTCATACATGGGATATTTTTTAGGGAGAATGATGGGAAATTATGCTTTTTCACATTTTTTTGATCCTGGAAGTGGGGGCATCTGTTCTTTTGCTCAGTGTGACAGTGAGAGTGAAGTGAAGAAAAGGATTCTGCTGAAATCAGGGCGAGGAATATGGTAAATCCCAGTTTATCTCAAGTGCGGTAAAACCCCAGGCAGCTAGAAGAGTGAGGTATTTGGTCAGTTCAACATTCCGTTTAATCTAGAAGTCACCAATAGGCCACTTCTCCGCGACAGATTTTTATAGAATTCAAATACAACAAAGTAGACTTGACACCCTGACTATACTAAACACATATTTATCTCTGCTAATGACTTAGAAGACACTTAAAGATCTCACCAAGCCTCAGAGTCACAAGAAGAAAATCAGTTACCTCAGAAATGGCTGTTAGTAGGGATTTCTGGCTGATAGTGGGAGTGTTTTTGCTGATTGAAAGAAGCACTTCACTGGGTGCAGTGGGTGGGGGTTGGGACACCAGTTCTTGTTTTTCCAGGTATAATTCAGCAATCTGGGTGGCTTCCTTAGAAACACATAGGCCATAAAATGAGATAATGTATGAAAAGCCCCTAGTGCTGAGCCTAACACAGAAAAACACTCAGTACATGCGAGATGACGTGACCACGTTTATCTGTGAATTGGTTTGGTTTACTTTTGCTTTTTTCTTTTAGGGGTGTGGGAGCTCTTCCTACACAGCTAAGGGTCCCTCAACTAGAGAAACGTGATATACCTAACGTAGGACAAGCAGGAACGTTTTGACCTCCAGCGTTGTTTATGTTTTTAAACTAAGCAACCACAGAGGATAACTAAAGGAACTATCATGAATTATGGCTGAATTCTGAACGGTGACCCTTTCAATCAGTTACTAGGATGACTGGATTGTACCTTCTCCTCTGGGGCAAGCCTAGAAAGAGAGAGTTAGGAGAAACAAGTGTAAAACAGCCTAGATTGTTTTTCTTTTTCTTTTTTTTATATATGCTGTTAATGAGAGGGTAAGTTTTTGTAGAGTTCTTGGAGAGCACTTTGACCTTAATTTTGAAAATGCTAAGTTTACATAGCCTTTGACTGGGTGATTTCACTTCTACAAGTCTTTTCTATATATGTGTAAGGACATCTGTTAAAGCATTACGTATTTTAATTTTGCAGCAGAAAGAAACTTGGGGGAAAAAAGAAATGTCTATGTAGCGGACTGGCTAAATTTGTAAACAGATATTATGAAATAAAATGCTACTTTTAAGAAAGGTGATGGACATGTATGAACTCACATGTCAAAATGTCTGTAATCTATTGTAGAGGGAAAAAGCGGAAGTCTTTATGGATAATATGATTTTATTGATGAGAAAAATATTAGATATACATACAAATCCATGTATCTTTATAGCATTTTCTGGAAGGATATATAATATACTATTCAGCTAATATATAATTTAAGGATTATGAGTATTATAAATTGAAATGAATAATTATTACAGATTAATACACATTAAGATTTGTTGATATATACATAAAATTTATGGTAAAATGAATATAAATTATTTAAAAATTTGCTTTCTTACATTTCTTAAATATCTTCTAGTTTACGTTCTACTTGGCTTATTCCAACTTTTATCTCTGTATCATTAAACTCCAGTTCAGTTTAAGGTCATTCATAATTTCCAAACTGGTGGTTTTACTGTTTCTTAGGTAGTGTTGAAGATCATGGTGATAGCACTGGTCATCCGTTTGAACCCCTATGATGTACTAACACATGTATTTATATTTCCTCTAAACCTCACAAAACTGTGAAAGATGATGAGGAAGCAGACGATCTGCCATCTTAAGGCACTTGCTAAAGTCATGCAGCCAGCAAGTAAGTTTCAGAGCTAGCACTGAAACTCAGGTCTAACTGCAAAGACCGTACTGTTTCCACATGTCATTCTGCCTTAGACACGGTGCTGGTGAATTCGTTTTTCAGAAAGTCTCTTTGTGGGTAGGACAGATAGTTGTTTAAAAAGAGACAGAAAGCGTGCTTCGGGTGGTTATGGCTGGGTAGCATTTTCCACTCCCCATTGTTACTAATTATTCTGTGTCTCCCATTTGTCTTAACTTTGATTGTATACTTAAAAAGTTTATGGAAACTTCCCAAGCCCATTTGATTCTGCTGATATTTCCATGGTCGGAACGCCAACCCTATGGCGGGCGCCAAGTAGAGCAGGCCATCTGAAGACTGCTCCAACTTTCAGGACTGGGCCTGGCTCAGATGTGAATGCCATACCACTATTTATTTTCATGAGATAAAGAGCAAAGAAAAATAAAAAAGCAAAATCTGCATTTGAAAACATTCAAGTAACGTAATCCATATTAGTCAAACTAATTGTAAGGCTGGCCTGGTTTCGATTTTAGAGATTTCTGCAGCTCCAGAGTACCCTCAGGGTGGCCTTGTAGAAGTCTCAACAACAATAATAGGAAGATTCTTCCAAGCCTCTGTCTCCCTTTCTTGGTTTTCTGACACGGCTCACCTGTTCTTTATTCAGCTATTTACTGGGACATGGTCTTTATCTGAAGTTTTTCGTGTTATTTTTCAACCCATTAGGATAAGTGGGGTGGGTGTAGGGGGCTGTGCCCACAAAACAGACATCCAACCCAGTTTTAAGAAAGACTTTTTAGAGGAAACGATAGCTATGTGGAGTCCTGAAAGAGAAATCTTAGAGGTAGAGGTGCCCACTTACCTAGATAGAGCATGTGCAGAAGGCAGAGATGAAAGAGCACACAGTACATCTACACAACGGTGAGTCCCCAAGCATCTGACCTCTCTGAATGAGGATATTGACTACAGGTCAGTTAGGTGACCTTGCTAAAGGCTCATCATATCAGGATCCCCAGGGTACAGAAACACTCCCAGAATAAATGGCTCTGTTACTAAACATTCCCCCTGTAACACCATTGTTGAAATGGTGGGTATTTGGGTATCTGTGACTCTTAAATCTCTCTCATATCTGGCCATACCTGTGTCAGCCTCCTAAAGTCACGCTGGCAGATGACACACCAGGGCAAGATGAAAACTGTAGGTACTCACGTAGAATGAAATGATAACTTCCTGTTCTAAAAAGGGACTGTTGGTGTAATATCCTTTTTGCAAAAGCAGGGAATAGCTTAAGGTTGGAGTTTCTGTTTTCAATAATGAAGATGGATATTCACATGAGAAGAAGACAAAACAGAACGCCCCAGCCGTGGGCTAAGCAGTTGGCTATTTTTATTCGTCAGGACAAAAACATCAAATGACAGTTCTTTCTTTGTTTCTCTTTATGCATTAGTACTAAAGCATGCTACTAAATCTTACGTTCTATGAACTCCTGACAGTGTATAAACGTGGGTTTCCAGTTTCTATACACCACGGTCAGAGATTTCCGTATGTCCTCCAGCTAGTCAAGAAAACCTTTGCTTGGAGTTCTTCTCTTTACTAACTGTTGCATCATCCAAATGCATTTTCTGCCTGTGAAAACTGAAAAGGTGAAGACCAAATTTGGAAATTCACGTGTGCCAATGCAGATACCACCATGAACAAAAGAAAAATATATGTATTGGACTTTGGAAAGTAAAATCACAGATCTATTCTGGATCAAGGTCAGCCATAAATGGAATTGTAAAGAAAGGCCAGAAAATAGTGTATGGTTCATACTTAAGAAGAAGAATGGTGGCATCATATACAAAAGGAACTGAGCCAACAGATGAACAGAATGCTATGGTTTTTATTGTTAGCAAAAACTTCCACTAATTATAAATTAAAGGCAGCCAGTAATACCCATAGATTAAAAAGCTAGTTGAAAACTGAGATTCCTGTAGTAAATATTAAGCATTGTGTGATACATTAGTCACATGTGTATAATAAGGACAATAAATCCACGTAAGTACAGCAATGATGAAATGTGTATAAAGCAGTTTGAACTCCACAGAAGTAAGCAAAGTATAAATAGAGAGCATGCTCAGGCGCAGAGAAAAGCAAGTGCTATTTTAGCGCTTGGGTTAGTGATAATTTATTGTTCAGGCTCTCCAGTTGAGTCAATGTTTATACGGTGCTGTATATTAACTGAAACCAAAATAGTCTGTGCACATCACTGTCTTGAATAGATTACTGAGTGATCAGCAGACACCGTATCAAACAACCACTCCCCTGCGAACGAGGGATTTATAATATTTAAAATATTCATCCTCAAGCTCCAAGCTGTTTTGACAATTTTGTCTGTTAATAAATATTCTTCAGAGAGAGGCAATCTGGGCATATGTAATGGAAAAAGACTGTAAAGTGGCTTACACTCCAAACTCAGGACCTGGATTGCCTGGGTTCAAGTCCTGGTTCTGTTACTTATTAGCTGGGTTGATTTTGGGCAAGTTACTTAACCTTTCTGTGCCTTAGTTTCCTCATTAGTAAAGTGGGGTTAAGGAGAGTACCTACCCGTAGGGTGGTGAGGCAGAAAGAATTAATGCAAATGAAAGAGTTAGAAGAATGCCTGCCACAGAGTGAGGGTTAATTAACTACCTAAACTCTGCCACAGACCAGCAGAATGACTTCAGACAAGTTACTTAACCTTGACCTTTGGTTTCTTCTTTTAAGATGCAAAGGATAACAAACATCTCACAGTGTGACTGTGAGAATCAAATGAGATACCGTGTGGAAAGCAACCAGCCCTGGAGGAAGCACTGAAGATTTTCTTCTTTGTGGCTCTTCTCATCCTTTCCCTTGCAGGGATACTTTTCAGGACTTTTTTTTTTAGCATCTCTGAGCGTCAAACACTTCACTCCTAGCCCACTCACCCAGCCTTGCCCATACCTTGTGAAATCACAAACAGTCAGACATCGGAACCCAGTGATTTGACTTGAAGACCTGTCCTTTCATCACGACACTGCTTTCCCATAGAAATACTTCCTTCAGAAAGCCTTTCAGATTAACCCATTTCTGGCCTACTCACGTCTTGATTGGTGTAGGCTATATTTTCATTTGTGATGCTGAATATGTTTGACCATTTCATGTATATGTTATGTCTCCCCAGCCAAAGCAGCTCTCATAACTCCCCCTGGTTAGCCTTTCTTGCCTGGCTTTTGGTCTGATTAGATTAGAGTTGCGCAGGGCCAGAGGATTCAGCAGGCGATGATCAGCTGTGAAACTGGCAGTGTCACTAAGGAGTGCAACCAAGATGGTCAGTGCTTCTGGGACAACATTGATCATGCTCAGACATCCAGACTCTGAAAAACTCGGGTGGTTTCTGGGTCTAGAGTCTACATTCAAGAAGAAGGGTAGAAACTCAAGAAGTGGCTGTGGAAGACTTTCAGCAACCTACTGGAGGTGTCACCAGGGAAGACTAGAGTATGATCCTCAAGGTGCCTTCAAGGATGGCATTACTTGCTGAATTCAACCGTTTGGAGACTTCAACAGTTTGCAGAAATCTTCGAATATTTCAGGAAGCCTCTGCTTCCATTCTGCTCTCCCCTGATGGGCTACAGTCTGTCTTATAGCAGGAATCCTTTTGCAGTGAGTTGCGCTTATCTTCAGGCAAATGCCCCAGGTAGGGACATGAGGTTTTATTTACGGTCTGCAAAATTTCCTTAAAGAGAATGCTGCAAAGCAGAGCTCTGTGGACTTCCTCCTGGCGTGCCTGGAGACCCTCACACGCCAGAGGGTCTGACTGCCTCTCTTAGGGACTGACTGCCATTAAAAGCCAACTGTCCAGGTGTTCAAACAAGAATGCCAGTGTACTCATCTGTAATGAGAACGTTTCGGACGGATATTCATGCTTGCCTGGCCAGCCCATGCTCTCTGCAGGCACGTTTTCCTAGGAAGCCAGATGTGCTACAGAAGCAGCTTGGTGAGCACAGAATCCAAACACAGGGAGTTAGAAGAGTGGGTTGGTGTCAAGCTGAGGCCACACACGCATTCGCAAGGTCTCCTCAGGTAGCGGTCAAGGCTCCCTTTCCGTGGCCGAGGCCAGCATTGGCCTCTCAACCAGCAGCCGATGACTAGCTGCTCTGATTAGCATCTCTGTCTCCTGCATGTACTCAGTTGAGTTGTAATCACACGTTTCAGGATTGGAACCATCCTGCTTCTTTGCGGGGCCTTTGTCTCTTCTGCTCTGTCATGCATCTGTGCCGCTGTAGTCCTAGGGATGGGAAGTTTGAGAGCAGAGCCCCATCCAGGCTCCTTCCACAGCGCAATGGAGGAGTGCCACCTTGGGTTACGCTCAGAGAAGGGCGGTGGGAGAGGACTGCGGTTACTCTTGCTAACGTACATTATACTGTTTAATGTACACAAGAGACAGGAAAAAGAAAAGAGCAAAAGAATTCTCTCCAGGCAAATGTTTACTATGGAAACTGCATGATTACAGATGTCCATAGACAGTTCTCAGACACACGGGTTCAAGCCCCCCACCCCGCCCCTGTGCAGAAGGCGATGGTGTGAGTTTCCTTTCTTCTGAACTCCTGCCACACATGGAAGGATTCCATCGCCACCCCTTGTCTTCAGTCGCCTTTTTCAGAATTGGTTTACTTCTTGTTGTCTTTAAATTTTCTCTCGTCTAGAGGCTGCTTTGGCTCTCTGAGGTACCCATGGGCACAGCTGAGCTGATGGCCAAGCGTGGGGGCCTCATCTGCAGCTGTCTCTCCTGAGGAACAGCTGTCCCATGCCCAGGGAGAGAGCAAGGCCTGTGTCCCAAACAGCTCTGTGCCCCACCTCATCCTCTTCACCATAATAGAAGCCTCCTGTGATGTGAGCCTCAGCACCAACTCCTGGGGCGGGGGGCATCTTCCTCATCTGGGGCAGTGGAGGAGCAGACACCTGCCCTCTTCCTTCTCTCCCTCGCTGCTGGCTCACAGCCAAGGGGGAGGTGTCCAGAGGGGTCATTTCCTGCCCCCTCTGGTGGCTTGGGCTCCAGGAACTGTTGTTACCCTTCTGCATGCTCATCTCTGGCTTGATCTTACTCTCAGTGGAAGGTTTTGTTTTTGTTTTCCTTCCCCAGCACTTCCTTGTCCAGAGCAAGGGGTGGGTCTGAGCCCCACCATCAGTGTGACATGCATTTGTTCATTTGTGCATTGACAGAGATTCATCAGTGACCTATGCATACCCAGCTCAGTGCTGAGTGCTCCAGGCAGTACCGTGACTTCAACTGTTTGCAGAAACCTTCAAATATTTCAGGAAGCCTCTGCTTCCATCCTGCTCTCCCCTGATGGGTTACAGTCTGTTTTACAGCAGGAATCCTTTTGCAATGAGTTGCTCTTATCTTCAGGCAAATACCCCAGGTAGGGACATGAGGTTTTATTTACCATCTGCAAAATTTCCTTAAAGAGAATGCTGCAGAGCAGAGCTCTATGCAAAATGTTTTGTCCTACATGTGGTACGCATGTTTGTGTGTAATAAAACTGCAGAGTTGATTTGCGGAATGGGCCAATGAAGCCTGTTTTATGGTCTAATTTATGGCAGGAGAATGGAGTTAGCACAGCCACCCCTTGTTTCTGGCTGTTTACTATGCAGGGTGGCTGGAGTAGCTGCTCTCTCTTCTTCCTGTTACCCACCCCATGGACATCCCCTGGTCTCAAGGGAGCAGCATGTGATGTTCCACAGTCCCTCCTCTGCAGAGGCAAGCCGAGGATGCACTGTGTCCATCAGGTGTTAGGAGCCTCGCTCCACATGCTCAGCTGGCGGTAGCTCTGTGTTTGCTCAGCACACATGTGGCTGGACTGGCACTGGGGCCACCTGGTGCTTCTTCATGGGGCTCTATTTCAAACCATGGGCTGCTGGTCAGACCCTCTCAAGCCTGAGCGTGTCCAGGTGAATCTCCTGATTCTGCAGGCTGTGGCTGACAGGCCTAGATAGGGAATTGCTTCAACCTTGGCTGTGCACTAGAACCGCCTGGAGTATTTAAAAATCCTGGTGTCCCAGTCACACCTGAAACCAATTCTGCCATACTCCCTAGGGGTGAGATCCAGCGCTCTCCAAGTGATTTCACCGAACTGGCAAGACCGGGAAAGGAGAAGGGAGGAAGGAGGAAGCCAGAGCAAGATAAGGGGAGAAGAATGGAACTGGGGAGAAGGAAGAAATGAAGGGCTGGCCAGAGGTGGTGAAGTGAGGCAGTGCCCCCAGCAGGTGCCTGGAGATCCCCAGCAAAAGGATGATGTGTCTGCCCCATCCCTGGCCCTGGACTTGGACGTGAGGAACCCAGAGAGCATCAGAAGAGGAGGCAGGGCTCCTTCTGTGGAGTCTGAATGTGGCTGCACTTTCCATCACGAACTGCTTCCTAGCTGTGGATTTCCAGATTCAGAGTTCACTGGAACATCTCTGAGCTTCTGTGTCTTCATTCGCAAAACTGGGATGTCAAATGCTGCTTGCAGGTTGTCATGTGGATTTGATAGGATGATGGTGAAGTTGGGCACATGTCAGCATTCTGCAAGGGAAGCTTAATGACGATAGACCTTGGAAGAAAGGCACAACTATTTCAATAAGATGTCACCACCCCTTCCCATCGCTGAGTTCTCTCCGCTGTGCTGAAAGGCAGTGGTTCTGAAATGTTGTTTTAGGTTAGCTAATAAGAAACACAGAGCACTGGGTTTACTGGTGGGCCCAGGCATCTGCATTTGCCCCCAAGCTCCCCGGGTGATTCTCACAGCCAATGCTTGGGATCCTCTCTACAGATGAGGACCTGGAAGGGCCAAATGGTGTGGTGGGATCGCAAAGCTGAAAGAGAGAGAGAGAGAGAGAGAGAGAGAGAGAGAGAGAGAGAGAGAGAGAGAGAGAGATTGATTGATTGATTCTGTGCCGCTCGTGGAGCTGTACTACCTTCTAGAGCTTGTTGTGGACCTCCTAGTTTCTCTTTCTAATGATTTCAGTGACTGTCCCACCCTGACATAGAAAAGAGGGGTATGTGAGGCGTGTCGGGGCCAGCAGCCACGGGGGTAATTTTGGCTAGGTTCCACCTGTCATTTACAAGTCAAACTGAGATGAGCTCTAAAACTGGCATCCTCCAAATTAGTAACCTCCAGCCAAACAAGGAGAAAATGCTTTTTCATTTCTGGTGGCAGAGGTAAAAATGACTGGTCTCTCTTGCATGTTGCACTTGCTTGTCCCAGAAACTTTATGTCTGGGGCCTCCATCATCAGCCATGAGCGCGCATAGTGAAACAAAGCACCTTCTCCATGTTCGTATTTGTTTTTAAAGGCATGAAAAGCCCCTTGGATCACAATGGTTCAAAGGGTCTGCACACTGACACGTTTCCACTGGGCATTGTGAGAATGTTGGTCCATGGGACCCTTGGTGGATTTACTGCTTATTGTTTCTGTTGTAACTATAATAGGAAAAAGGATGTGTCTGCCCATAGGAACAGCTACCGTAGGAGCCCTGTGAGGAAGGCCCGGGAGCCGGAGGGCCAAGGGACCTTGATGATGGAGGCTTGAGAGCCCATCATTAGCAGGGGGTCTAGGAGCATTGGCTGGAGACCCCCATCCTACAATGCAGCTTCAGTGCCCCCTGCTTCTCCGAGGCAGAGTTCTCACCAATGGCAGGACTCAGCTGACTGGCAGTGAAGCATTCACGTTGCCGTGGTCAGCCTGGGAAAGTGGAAAACGCCATGGAGATTAAGCCTGGGGTGGGGCGGCAGACAGCCCCTGCCTCCCCCTTCTCTCTCCAGGGGAAGCAGTGCTGCCCAGCAGACCCTATAGAGCCAGGGAGCTGGAGCAAGCCGTTTGTTTTCCATTTCACAAAGGAGGAGAAGGGATTCCTGCTGCAGTTTTTGCTGAAGAACAAGACGTCCTAGCAACACAAAGAGCTTCTGCTTTAACAAAGGATTTTAATATCTGCCTTCCCTGCTCTTTCCCATTTGGCTAGGGAGCTGGTGTCTGATTCAGAAAAGCAACATTACTACATAGGACATCGATCTTCATATCGCTAAAACTCATTTTCCATAACCCGTCAGGGGCTAATAAAATGCCAGCTAGGGATCTGTGGCAGATTTGGAAGGGAGAAGAAGGGAGGAAAAGGAAAGGGAAGAAGGGATGATGCTGAAATGTAAGGGTTTCCTAATCAGGTGAAGCACAGTGCTTAACGGATACATTGCATAGATGGCCGTGTGCTTTTGTAACTAGGGGCTCTGAGGTCTTTCATGAATGAAGGGATGGATATAAGACATTCATCACAATACTGCAGAAGTCTCATTGAGTGAGAAAAGAGAAAGCTAAGTGAATGATCAATCAGAGAATAAGGACACTTACAACAGTAATGAAATGGAGCATCTGTTGAGCTACACTGCATTCTAAACACTGTAATACCTGGCAACTCATTTCATCTTCATGAGAGCTCTAACCAGTGAGTCAGGTACCATTATCATCCCCACCATAGGAATGAAGGTGAGATGACTTGATCAGAAACTCTTGACTTAAATCAGTGTGAGTGTCCATCCAGGGACCACTGGTAAAATTCAGGCTGGGTAAAGATCAACTCCTTTGCTGAGACATGCTCCCTCCCACAGGTGGAGTTTGGAACCTTCGCCTCCTGACCTGCCTTCCACATCCCAATATAGGGCTTTCTAGGAATCAAGCCTATGGGATTAGAACTCCTTTGGTATCTCCATCTTTCCTCACCTTTACAAATAGCAGCAGGAGAAACATGGGAAGGGGCTCTTGTGTATTATAGCAGGCACAGACAGTTCCAAATATTTGGGATGAGATGAAAGCCCCAGGGGCTCTGGAGGGACCCAGCATGGCCTTTTAGAGAGCTGGAATGGACAATGTGTCTGAGAATCTGGCGAAGCTGCCAGTCGGAGCAGCTTTCTTGCAGCCTGTCCTCTTTTCTGCCCATGCCTAGAAAACACCTTTTCTTTTCTCTTCCTTCCACTCCAGCAGCTTTGCTGAGCACATTCCCAGCTCACAGGAAATGTTCAGGGGTGGGTGGACCATTCATTCCCACTCTCCATTGCAGAATCTTTGTGAGTTAAGGGCGGGAAAGTAGGTAAAAACAGCCACTGGGCACCCATGCTGTGCTTCAGGAAGTCTGCTCCAAGATTCCCAAGCAGGCCCAAGAATGGAAGCAGAGAACAAGCCAGAAATATCCTTGCTGCCTTATTTCATTATTATTTTTTAGATTGCATGTTGGTGCTTTTCCATGAATTTTAATTGAGTCAAGTCCCATGACTTTTGTGATCCCCAAATCCTCCATAAACTCGCTGCAACTGACTTTTCTTTTTTGCCTTGAACCCCTTTCCCTTCCCTGCCTGGGAACCTGCCCTTTAAATTGGACATGGCTGGGATTTTAATCGCTCCTCAAAGGCGCAGTGACAATTTCACAACAAAGCAGGGAGGCTGGGGGTGGGAAGGGGAGGGAGTTTTGTTTTCTGCTCCTATTAAGAGAGCAACTGTTCTCTGTTTGTCCCCTGGGGCCCACTCTTGGCACCAGACTGGGGAGACCTCAAACTTGGTGTTGCAACATCCATCAGACCCAAGTGAGTCTGGGGCTCCTCAAAGGTGAACTGCAGCTGTTTGGATAAAATTCTAAAATCTTGTTTGGGAGATTCTCAGCCCTTGTTTTACAATCGTTCTTCCTGGCAAAGAAACCAGGAAGTTTTACTTTCCCAGGATCTCAGGCAGGTAATTGTTTTCCCAAACTGTATTTTAATCCGATGGAAATGGACATTCTTTGCTCTGAGAGCCTTCGCCCACATCCATAAACCGTTGGTATCCGACTTGCCCATGGGAGGGAGGCTCGATTACAGAGGGCCCCGCCCTCCCCTGAGACACGTTTCCATCTCTGGTTATAATTTGGGGCCATTTTCATTTCTAAACAACAGTTAGGAGCCTTTTAGTCTCTTGGCATTTCGGAGTGCTATCCTGCTCAGCGGCGGACCACGTCCAGGTGGTGGGTGATCTCCCGAGGATGGGAATTGGCAAAATCTCTTACGTGGTGTCATTTTTAAGTAAATTAGCATAAACAGTGATGCGCTGGTAGTTTCTGCCATAACCAATGTTTTCATGGACCCCAGGCTTCGACTGATTTATCATGAGGCCTCTTGCTCAAGGGACTTGGCTCCCAACAGGAACTCCAGAGGCCCTGAGTCTGGGCCCTGAGCTCACACTGGGACTGCGAGCTTAGGGAAGTGGCTGCCCCAATCCTCTCTGGAGGTGCACACCTGCACCCATGCAGGATGGCCTGGCGGGGCTCTTCTTGGGAGGAGGGGGCTGAGTTAATTCTCTACCCCTGCACTTCCTGAAGATGCAGAGTGCGCTAGGCAGAGGCAGATTCAGCCCTCCCCAGTGAATTCCATGACTGCAAACAGAGTCAGCTTGGAAGCTTCAGGCGGGGTCCTACCCCCTCTCTCGGCCCCTTCTTTTTGGGGTCCGTTTCTTAACCCATCACTAAAATTGTAAAAGCCAAAACATTTCAGGGGGAATGTCCAATTTGCCAGCATAACTTTGTTACTCATCAACAAAGACTGATCTGTCACACCTTGTGCTAGGTGCCTCAATACCGGAGAAGGAGCCCTTTTAAAATGTGAGCAAAGACTCCAGTTGTCTAAACACGCCAGGGTCAGGCAATGGGGATGCGTGTTGTGAGGATGCTGGGAGTTGGCTGAAGTTGGAAAGCTCACAGCGGGTGTTCAGAGAACCGCAAAAGGGCCTCCTGGGATATTAGCACGTGAGGAACCTGCCCCCGCATCAGAGGTCCTGGGTCAGGCCTGGATTTTTAAGTGTCCTTTGTGCTACTCCTCATTTTGTAGAGAGGCATCCATGGTAGAGGTGAATTTTGGAAAATATGCAGAGGTATGGCTGCATAGCAAGCCCTTTCCCTGTCCTCAGGAAAAGCACAGGTACCTCCTGTCAGAGGGGCCTCAGCAATCGACTAAAGACTGTTTTTTTAAATTTATTTTTTACTTTTGAAAAATGTTGGCAGGGCACGGTGACTCACGCCTACTGAAGTAAGCAAATCCCTTGAGCCCAGGAGTTCGAGACCAGCCTGATCAACATGGCAAAACCCCCTCTCTACCCAAAATAGAAAAATTACCTGGGCATGGGGTGTGCACCTGTGGTCCCAGCTGCTCAGAAGGCGGATGTGGGAGAATCACCTGAGCCCAGGAAGTCGAGGCTGCAGTGAGCTGTGATTGCACCACTGCACTCCAACCTGGATGACAGGAGTGGGACGCTGTCTCAAAAAAAAAAAAGAAGAAAAACATCAAGTTCTTTGGGAAAGGCTGGGAGGTAATAAAGAGAGGTTAATGGGTACAGATATACAGTTAGATAAAGAAAGAAGTTGTAGTGTTTGATAGCACAGTACGTTGACTGTAGTTAGCAATTTATTGTGTATTTCAAAATAGCTGGAAGAGAAGATTTTTAATGTTCCCAACACAAAGTCATATTTTGAATATGACTCTTGGAAATAATATATGTGAAAGTCTCTAGGCAGTGCAACACATTGTTAGCTAATTTGACTACAGCATTTGGCCAGCGCCACTCCCAAGTCTAACTTACATTACGTTTCATCATATTTTTTAATCAATCGACAAACGAACAATCTTCAAATTTGCCTGTATCTTTTAAGGGTCAGCAAAGAAGCTCTTCAGTGTTTAGGGTCAAGCCTCTTTTCCAGCTCTTTTTTCATGGAAAATAAGGCTTTGCCTTTGAGGTGAAGAGTATCCTAAACACTCCGATTTGTTAGGCACTGGGTGCATGTATCAAATATCACATGTACTCTATAAATACATATAATTATTATGTATCAACTGTAAAAAAAGAAAGGACTATTACTGCCCTTGCCCATTACCCACAGACCTACCACCCACTCACTCTTTTATTCACTGGCTTATTCATTCATTATTTCATGTATTTATTCTTTGTCTCACTCATTTGCTCACTCATGCAATCAACAAGCAGTCCCTGACAGGCACTGACTCTGCGCTGGACACAGTCTGAGCAGACAAAAACCCTGCTGGGAGCCAACAGGAGGAAGGTTTTGGAACCCTGGTCTCCAGGTGCCTGACCACCTGCATTGGCCTTCTAGGCTGCCCACTGGGTCTCTAGTGTCAGAAAGGAGTGGCCAGAGGATGAGAGACAGACCCATTTCTTAGGCTGGGTCTCATCATTTTAGAAAATATTGAATAGTCTGCAAGTGATTTTATCTCAAGCATTCTCAAAACACTCATTTCCATCCTGCCCCTGCTCCCCATGCTAATAAAGGAAAATTCTTTCAATGAACCATGCCAAGTGCTGACCAGAGCAAACAGAACCGCTCCTCTGGGGAAGCAGGCAACCCAACCACGCTGCGGGAGTTCAGGCTGAGATCATTTTTTCGATTCCCCTTTGCTCGAAAATGCCATCCACAATTTTCACCCTCCTTCCCATTATCCCAAGTCACATATCCTTCCATCATAACAAGTCACATCTCCAGTGTGAGTGCCTCCCGTGTCACAGGCAGAGGAGAAGATTACAGTGAAACTGCTCAGAGAGGTGCAAGCCCCATAGAAAGCTGAAGATCAGAGGATGCCTGTTTCTCAGGCTCCTGATACTCTTCAGAAGGTGTCTAAATAGATCATCTCCTGAGTAGTCCCAATAGCTTTGCTGTCTGATGTGGTGTGGAGCTCCAGACAACCTGGTCTCCCTGAGAATATTTTTGGGCACCTGTGTAATGGGAGGAGGAGAGAGCAAGGGTTGGGAAATCTGACTTTGAATCTCCGCTCTATCATTTACCAGCCGACTGATCCAACCACCCCTTAACTTCCTGGAGCCTGAATGTTCACACTTTGGGGTCCTTCTTAAATCCATTGGTTAAACAGGTTTAGCACCAATAGGGACCTTACATGAACTAGCAGGGCTGCAATTCACCTGGGATGCCCTGCACAGCTGTGCTGGTTGCTTACAGCTGGCTGAAGTCTAGTCTGACTGGCCTAGGCCCACACTATGCTGGTTGCTAAATATTTTGAATATGACTCTTGGAAATAATATATGTGAAAGTCTCTAGGCAGTGCAACACATTGTTAGCTAATTCAACTACAGCATTTGGCCAGTACCACTCCCAAGTCTAACTTATATTATGTTTCACCATTTAACTTAAATTATGTTTCATAACTTTTTAAATCAAGTGACAAATGAACAATCTTCAAATTTGCCTCTATCTCTTGAGGGTCAGCAAAGAAGCTCTTCAGTGTTTAGGGTCAAGCCTCTTTTCCAGCTCTTTTTTCATGAATGCTAGTAATTTGGTTGCCCGAAGTTCCAGGGAGTGAACTTTATCCAAGCTTCGGAGAGAGACTGAGAACTGCTCATTCGTCTTGCAAATGAAGATGATACTTGAAGAATGTGACTTGACAAAATGTGGTAGACTTCTAAAGAATGTCAAGACAGATACCCCTCAACTTGGATTTGTGGGTTACTGTGACATCTTAGGTGAAATGGCAGACATATGTTTTTAGGAGCATGCTATATAGTTCTTAACGGAATTCTACAAAATTTACTGTTTTGGGGAGATGACAGAGAGATGCAGTTAGACTGAGAGAAGGCCATAGAACCCCTTTATGCTCTTTATAATAGAAAATGAATGTACCATTTTTTACTTGAGTCTTTGAAAAGACAGGTATGAGTTGGTGTTTAACATTAGACTAGGTTGTAGATTGACAGGAGACCCATCCCCATACATCAGAAAAAGAGGAGCAGAGAGGAAAAAATACATAAACAAAAAATAAAAGACCTGAGACATCCATTTATCCATCCATCCATGCATACTAGAAATTCTGGGTTTCAGTTGTGTTTCTTATTGAGTAATGTTTTGGGTTCATAGTCTTGGCTGGGTCCCTTAGCATTTAGTGAAACAGCTGCTCACCTAGGAAGTAGGTAATATTTGTTTATCTGTTATCTGTAAAATGAGGAACAAAATAGTACCCATTTCATAGAGGTTTTAAGAATTAAGTAAATATACATATGTGTCTAAATATATATAGTCATATATCCATATGGCATTATAGATGTGTGTGTGTCCTTTGATAATTAAATTACAGCTATGTATGCTCTCTCCAGAAAAATTCACAAACACAAGAAACTTAGCCTAATATTTTTAGAGATTTTCCGAAGCCATAGGCCTCCTTCTAATTATCCAAGTGAGGAAACACTTTCTATACTGAAATTCTTATGATGTTTTTCTCACTTAAAAGGAAACTGCAAGTCAAATTCGATTATAGTCAGTATTCTACACTAAAAATTTCTTTGTGGTTGCCATCCCCCTAAGGTTTTTAAGCTGGATCATGTCAAGAATATACCAAATGATAAGAAATCTGATACAAACAGGAGGTCTTGTCCTATTAGAGGTCATAGTAATAGCATTTTATCTATAATAACAGAAAATGCTCTACATGGACATATATTAATCTATTCCTAAGCTTAACTCCATATGAGGAATCACTTTTTATTCCTCATTTGTGCAGGGTGGAGAGAGATGTGCTTTTTTCTTTCAATTTGTTTTTCCACATCTATTTAGAGCAGCCAAAATAGGAAAACTGCTGCCCAGGTTCTAAATTCACTTCCTCCACCAGCCTTCTGTATTCTGCTCCAGGTCTGATGACTATAACTTTTTAAACATGTCATTTATTTTTATTTTTATTTTAGTCTAAATGTCTCTTCAAAAACACCAGGGAAAAACATTTTTAGCTTCACTAAGAAAACAGACATGTTTAAACAACACCCAAAATGTTCAGGTAGAGTTGGTGTTTTGGCTTGTGTGTATTTTAACGGTGATCCTGGTAAAATATATGTTAGAAACAGACTTTTTCTTCATCTTAGGTGTGCCAGTTTCTTTGTGAAATAAAAGAAAGAGGAGAATTGATCATCACAACTTCTGTATTAGAGCTAAACTTTTGGTGATTGTGAAAGGTTATTTCAAGTGAAACAATGTGAGGTCTCTTTTTTCAGTTTTTAATTACTATTTATAGACAGCCTGTGTAGAGCCAATCAGTGGGAACGCAGATTATGGTGCAAGTGAAGAAAAAGATGACCTCGAGGAGAATGAATGCCGAGTTGAGATCCGTTAGTCCACCTTAACGTTTCTGCCTTCATGACCTCATTGAATCCTTTATAATTTTCAGGTAGAATTAATCATTTAGGTGGGAATTCATTGTTTACCATTTTGATGCCTCCTCCTGGGGCAGGATTCTTCCCAAAGACTCAAGTGGGAAAATAATCATACTCTGATGAAAAAGCCAGATCCATCTCACCAGTTCCTCAGGGCCAAGCAGCCTCAGGGTGTTTAGTGTCTGCATTGTTCTTGCTCAGTGGACAATTGAGTGAGAAATAATACTCACGAGTGAGCAGACAGAAGCTGTGCAGCAAGTCAGTAAATGAATGAGAGAATGTGACAAGTAATTACCAGGTGAAGTGCTCTATCCATATTTAGAAACTGTTCCTTGGGATTGCATTCATTCACTGGGTTTTTAAACTATTAATACTTAAAACCATGGTAAGCCCAACATGCTCTGAATTATGGGAGTCAGAATCATCCTGTGCTTTATGGGTCATGAGCCCAATTACAGGACAGAGTTGAGCTCTAACTCTGATACATAACAAATGTATTTGATATTCTATCTAATGTTTGTATGTATGTATGTATTGGAGATAAGGTCTCACTTTGTTACCCAGGCTGGAGTGCAGTGTTGTGATCACATCTCACTACAGCCTCAAAACCCTGGACTCGACCCATCCTCCTGCCTCAGCCTTTTGAGTATCTGGGACTATAGGCCTGTGCCAGTACACCCAGCTAATTTTTTCTTTTAATTTTTTGTAGAGACGGGACTCACTATGTTGCCTAGGCTAGTCTCAAACTCCAAGGCTCAAGGAATCCTCCAGCTTTGGCCTCCCAGAGTGCTGAAGTTATAGGCATGAGCATATGCCTGGCCATATTTATTATTGTTATCTCTTATAGTTTGAAGCATATTTACCAGATGTGGACTAACTTTCTTTCAGAGTTTCATTTTACCTGTCGCATCACGTGGCTGTTTTGTGAGTGCACTTAACTAGACTCTATTGTAACGAGACGTTATCAATCCGCTGGTTATTGTCGGTACATCCCTTCTCATTTCATGATTATAAGTGCTTTGCCCTTGCAAGCCTTCTAAATGCTGCTGGCCCACCAGTTGCTAAGCATTTTCTTTACATGTTATCTGAGTTTATCAGGATCTTCTAACCTCCCTCACTCCAGCAGTGAATCAGGCTCATTCACACCGTGCTAGCGGGATTGCTGGGTAGACACACTATGAGATGTATCAGCAGGCTGTTTAAATCCTTTCATTTCCTAAAAGGTTAAAAGGCCAGATCTTAGACATCAAGGTGTTTTTTTTGTTTTTTTTTTTTTCTTAAATCCATTAACCTGGCACAGGGACTGAAACTTGAAAAGTATACTATTAAACTCTGACCATTGTCAAATGATGGACACAAATCACACACGGCTTATGAATACTTAGGGTAAGCGTGGTTTTTAGACATTTTAAAAGTTCACTTTGAATTCAGAATAGATGCAAGCATTAACTATAACAGTAGGAAAGATCTCATAGAAGCTCAATTTGTAGTATTTTATTTGTGTTATTTCAAAAATAAATCATTCCTTTTCTAATCCACTCAAAAATGTCTATTTACTAAGAATACTGAGGAAAACATGGGCTTCTACCTGATTCTAAGTTTCTGGAAGAAACAATTGGTATAACTCTCTACCATTGTCCAGCCAACTGTTGACAGTCACCCATGTGCGATCTGCAGCTTGTGAGCCCAGGGACCGTCCATGAAAAGCCTGGTTATTTTCATACCTGCTTTTCACATTATCATTAGTACTTGTGTTTCCTTATGTGCAAATAGAAGCACGAGTGAATGAAAGTTTTAATGAGTGCAAATGGCCCCAAAATTTGAGTACATATAAAAAGAGAAGATACAAGGAAAATTTGCAGAAGGACAATGATACGGGAGAAGAACTCCAAAGTGGGGCCAACTTACTCGTCATATACCAGAATATGACGTGCATCTCACAGTGTTAGCGGAGCACTTTCCCTGACCTGGGGCTGGGTCTTTCCCCCACAAGCACCAAAGATGGAAGAAAGGAAGCAAAAGGTAATGTATCTGAGCTTTGGAAGGTTTAAGTCAAGGTCATATAAAACACTTCAAAGCAAAAGTGGGGCCCAGGTGTTCCTGTTGAGAGTTGCTCATTGAACACTGACTATGCACAAGGCACCATTCCAAGCTCGTTGCTCTATTATTGTAGCCCATTGAAAACCCAAGTTTCTAGATGCTTCCTTGTCTTCTTGGTGTTGCTTAGTTCAATGATTTATTAATTCATTAATATAAAAGCTCACACTTACCATGTGCCAGTGTTTTAAGCATGCTATATATAGTAGCACATTTTATCCTCCCAGTAACCTGATGAGGTATGCACTGTCATTAGCCCTGTTTTCTAGATGAAAGAAACTGGGGCACAGAGGCATTTAGCAGCTTGCCGAAGATCATGCAGTGGTAAGTGACTGGGCCAGGTTTAAACCCATGTGCGTGCTGCCAGTGGCCGAGTCCGGCTTCCTTCCATATACTGGTCACTGATTACAGTCATAATATGGCTGTTGATTACATGAGTTTGGTTACTACAATTACAAGGAAAATATTGAAAAATGTGTAAAAGAACATTAAAGAATCATCTCTATCCTTTTCAAGAGATAAGAATTTTAAATAGCATTAGAATGACTTCGATGACGGCCACGGCACCTACCCCGTAAAGGGAATGCAAAGCGGGAGAACTGTTCTGTCTGCATTTACTTCCGAAAACAAGGCCCGGTTGTTTCTGACAGCGCCAAAGAAGCCCTACACGGAATCGATTAGGGAATAAGTGCCACCAGGGATGATCAGGTTCCTACCTGTGCCTGGAGTGCTGGGAAGCCCGTGTTAGTGTCTCAGAATCGAGGCTGGCGATACTTCGGGAGAGTAAGCCAGAGCCTGGGAATTAGGCCTGTTCGTTCGGTGCTGTTAGGCCAATAAGCAGCTTTCATCAAACACAGTTAAGACCCCAAGATAGAGACCGATGACCACTGAGTCTGTTAAATCCTCCGGACTTGGGTTGTTGCTATTTGGCTGTTGAGAGTGGCTCACCCCTTTGGATTCCAGTTGGGAAAGCGCAATGTCTCTAGATCCCACCCTCAAGTTACTTTTTCTGGCAACATGCAGACTGCCTAAAAAGCCCTGGCGTTGCAGGAGGACTTTATACTTCACAGAAGATGAGGGAATCTTTGGAAATTCAGGCTACAGAGGCCAGATATACCAACAAACAGAGCAGTCTGCATTTCCCTCCAGTTGGAAACAGATCAGAAGCTTTAGGCATTAAAAAATGCTAGCTGTATAAACTTCTGGGTTTGAGCATCTCGTAGATGCCTGGCTATGGATGTCCACATTGGAGACGATAAGCCTGGTGCGACTCTCCGTGCAGACTCATCAGTCCCTGTTAGAACTGCAGCCAGCAGAAAGTGACCTTGGAGACTGCGGACATGTGTCCTCTAGGGCTTCAATCCCCACCTCAGCATTTGGCCTGAGCAGCCAGTTCCAGCATTGACAGATGGCAGCTGCTCGTGGTCCAAGGGGACTTAGGAGATTTGTAGACATGGAGGTCTTCTGTGTTGCCCAGGCTGGTCTCAAGCTCATGGGCTCAAGTGCCACACACCATCACACCTGGCCCCAGTCCTGTTTTTAAAGGTGCCCAGCAAAGGAATTTTAAACCTCCTTTGTCAACCTTCACTTTGGCAAAATGATCCTTAGTACATTGGCGATGGATGAAGCCGAGAGGTGTGGGCACCTTGACACATCTCCAGTAAGCCCCTCTGCCTTCCGGCAGAACCATCGCCCATCCCAGCCAGATGTCAACAATTGTGTTTTTGTTGTTGTTGTTGTTGTTTAGAGAAAAGGCCTCACCCTGTTGTTGAGGCTGGAGTTCAGTGGCATGATCATAGGTCACTGCATTTACAAGCACAAGCTCAAGTGATCCTCCCACCTCAGTCTCCCTAGTAGCTGGGATTAGGGGTACACACCACCACGTCCAGCTAATTCTTAATTTTTTGTAGATATAAAGGTCTTTCTATGTTGCCCAGGCTTGTCTGAAACTCTTGGGCTCAAGTGATCCTCCTGCCTCGGCCTCTCCAAGCCCGGTGGTAATAGGCATGACCCATTGCGCCTGGCTGCAGTCCTGTTGTTAAATGCCTCCCGAGAAGGAACTCTAGATCCCCCTTGTCAGCTTTCACTCTAGCAAAACGATCCTTGGTAGCGAGGCTTTTCCTATGACAAGAAGAGAAATACGACTTAGAAAGAAAAGTTATGTATTTAAAATGTCCTAAAAGGATAGATGGATGGATGATGGACGTTGGATGGATAGAGAGAGGTAGATAAATGAATAGATGATATTCATGATAAATGAATAGATAGATGAAAGAGAAAGAGGGGTAGATAGATGAGTGAAGGAGGGAGAGAAAGAGAGGAAGTAGGTGACTGGAAGAAACAGCCAACCCCCTAGCAATGAGACATATTTATTATAGAATTATACACCGAAGGAGGCCTCTTAAGACCCATTCAACACATAAGCTCCTTCCTTCATGCTCCCATCACCTTCCCCACATCCTCTATTCCAGCACCTTCTCAGGTTGCAACATGAGAATTTGTTAGCTGTTGGTCTCCCTGGCTGGAGTGTGAGCCCATAGGCAGGGATTACATCTCATTCTGCTGTGTAGTCTCAGCATCTAGCCCAGCGCCTCACACCTGGTCAGTGCTCCATGGAAGGAAGGACAGAAGGAAAGAAGGAAGGGAGGGAGGCACATCAGTCAACCAATATGATAAGATGATAAGACGATAATGTCCCTTGTCAAGAATGCATCATTTGCTGCAATCATCAATGATTTACTAACCAAACTTAACCTATGTGATACCCCATGTCCCCTCAGTAAGCTGGTACAGGCCAAGTCAGTACGGTGATAGCATCTGCCCACTGTTGGAGGGGTGTGTTCATGCTCACTCCCAGTTAACACCGTTCTAAGGGATACCAATTCATTATTGTACTATTTGTCTCTGAAATAATTTCCAAAAAAATGTATTTCACTAGGGTTCCTTGTTAATATGTCTACATTTTCCATGATCTGATCGTGGTATTGTGTGGGCTTGGCCAGTGAGAGCTGGCACGGTCAACTGCAGGGTATCCTCCCAGCCAGGGACAGTGGGGCTTCCGCAGGTATCCTCGTTCCCCAGTCAGGATCTGCGTGCATTCTCCCTGCCCCGTCTGGCATCCTGGAGCTCATCTCCTCCGGCCTGACTCCCCTACCTTACATCCCCCAGTTCAAATCCTCTTGTCTTTCAAGCCCCTTTCCAAGGTTGATCAAGTTTCTCCTCCACAGCAGGTCCTTCTCCTCACTCTGGGAGCTGCCTTGTCTTTCTCCTTGGCACTTCCTGGTGCCACTCTTCCTCCTGCTAAGCACCTCTCTCTGCGGCATGGTACTGGGCAGTCTATAAATCCCTGAATTCCCACCAGGCCCTCAGTGCCCCTCTGAGGAAGCCAGCCAGCAGCTCTTCCTTGTACGGAGGGCCAGGCTTTGTGTCCTGGGGACCTGCAACCCTGGCCATAACTGCTATAGGATTAAGGACTCTTGTTTAATAAAATTACAGTGGACTTGCTTCAAGGCAGACGACACAGCTTTAAAGCGATCCGGCAGGAGAACTCTGCCCATTTGGGGCATGTGATTTTCTACAGTAAGTGTCTGGCTCAATGAGACCCTCCCTGGGAGTGAACTCTGTCCTTAACATTGTCATATAGCTTGTTATTCGGACGTCCCCTCAGGCTTAGAGCTTTCTTTTCCCCCTTCTCTAGATCCTAAGGTCCTTGAGGACAGTCTTGCTCAATCTGTTTTTGTCTCCTATTAGTATCTGGGCCCTTCACAGTCAGTAAATGTTTGTTGCACAGGTGAATGTAAAACACCTCAGCCCAAGGCCTTCACTCCCAGGGAACCAATTTCTGTATGACTCCTTTTCCGGTTGTGCAGCTTATAGCCTGAGAGGTTTGGGATAGGAGAGGTCTCTCCGGGGGTTCCTGATCAGTGTGGACGAGGCTGCTGAGCAGGGTATGGAAGCAGAAGCAGCCCTTGGCGGGGGATGTGGTTGGAGGGATAAACACAGAAGACGCCTACGGCTCCCCAGGCCAGGGAGGTCTGCAGCTAGGGCCTGGAAGATGGAGACAGGGCAGTCCGAGAGCAACGAAGACAGAGCCAGAGCCATGAAAAGCGACAGCAGCAATTCCAGAGAGAGGGACAGAGACCAACAGTCACACCCAATGATATTCACCCAAACCAAGACACTTCCTCCCATGCTCGTCAGCCCTGAGCTCCTGGTTCCTCCCTTGGGTTGTGAATTCCTCCTGAGCAGTGCTGGTGTTTATTCTGGTGGTATCCCCAGAGCCTTGCAAGGCACCACACGGGGCTGGCACATGCTAGGCGCCCAGTAATGGTTTCGAACTGGAATTGAATTAATGGAAAAATTCTTCTATTAATTGAGTTGAGGATTTCACAGTCTCTCTTGAAATTCTACCTACAAGGCTACCAAGGTGTCCATCACCTTGAACACTCAGTTCACACCTGCAGTCTAACTGTGCTTTCTCGCCACGGCTTAAGTCCATTTCTTCTCCAGTGGTTTTAAATGCATGGAATGATTTTTTTCAGCCATTTGGGAAGAAGGAATGCTGTGTATAAAGCCTGGATTCAATAAAACCAGATTTTTAAAAAACAGCTCTTAGCATCTTCTACTACAGACACTGGTCTGGGCAGGGCTTTTGATTTTATTGAATCCAGCTGAAGAGCTTGACTACATTAATAATGGGCTTCATTTCCAACCACTGCCTCCCAGTCTTTCCTCCTAAAAGCCTCATGGTACTTAAGCAACTGCTAACACAGGAATAATTGTCAGCGGCATCACTTCCTGCCACGATGTGACCGCCAGGATGAGGTTTTCTTCTTGTACCTAATCTGGAGTTCTCAGGCGCACCACGTGTGGGGCTGCTGGATCATATTTAAAATTTGCAAGCAAATCTAATGGCAGCTGTGATTTGAGTTGTATGGGGTTTATGGTGAGAAAGTAGGATTTGGGAAGATTCTCTTGGATATGTAGTAATGTTTTTCTCGAGCCAGGCTACCTCGAGATGGCCCACAGGTTCAAATCTGTTATTTCTACAGAGCGTGGAAGGGTGGTACCATATCACAGGGTCCCGAGGGCAGACTGGAAGATTGTACTCCATACATTTCAAAGAAAATTCTATTTATTTAGCTCCAATACCACCATACTTCTTTTTGAAGTTTCCCTGGAAGAGGACAACTCACCATCAGTTTCCTTTACACTGGACTTGAGTGATGATGGATTTAGTACACATAACTGTGACAAGGCGTCCATGTGGAAGATAAGCTACTCTTTGCTTCAGTGGAAAAGGCCATATAAAAGCACATATCTCTTCACGGGAATAGAGCACAGCCACTAAGAGCACAGACTCTGAAGCCAGATTGCCTGAGTTTGAGTCCAGTTTAGCCACTATGTGACTTCGGACAACTCCCCTCCTACACTTTGCTCTCCCCATATGTGAAGTGGGGACAGTAGTGCCAGCTTCGCTGGGTCAGTGTGAAGCTGAAGATGAATGGATACTTGTTAAGTGCTTAGATCAATGCTTGTACATAGTGCTATACAAATGACTCTTATTGTGGGTTTTTTTTTCATTTTGTTGAATATCTAATACATTATTCCTCTCCATATAACATCCTACTAGGATAAAAAGTAACGTTTCTCTTTCAGGCAACATGCCATCAAATTTCACAGAGGGCCGAAAGTTTAGCAAGACCTTGCCTATTACACCTTTTTGGCAGTGATAAAATAGTATTTCTTACGTTCTGTAGGTTGCTTCATCTGTTGCTGCAGGTTTTCTTCTTGTACCTAGTCTGGAGTGAAACAGGTGATACCCCTCCCAAAAGAACTTGCAATCAAACGAGAAGTGATATATTAGGCAACGATACAAAACTGAAGAGCAGATATGATGAACTACTGGAGAAGATTAGAGGTGTAGACATAGTGGCAGCTCGAATGGTTGGATGAGGAAGGAAGGAGGTTTTCAGGTGGGATGAGCTGAGCTGGAAGAATGCGTTAAGATTTGGCTAATGAAGGTAAGAGTGCTCCCAGAAGGTGAATATATGGAGAGTGGTAAGGAAGGGTGGCAAGGCATGGTGACTCATACCTGTAATCCCAGCACTTTGGGAGGTCACGGTGGACCAATGGCTTGAACCCAGGAGTTCAAGACCAGCCTGGGCAACATAGCCAGATGCCATCTCTACTGAAGTTAGCTGAACATAGGGGCACACACCTATAGCCCCAGATACTATAGGAGGCTGAGGCAAGAGGATCATTGGAGCCTGGGAATTCAAGGCTGCAGTGAACTCGGATTGCCTCTGCCCTGCAGCCTAAGTGACGGAGCAAAACTGTCTCAATTCAAAAGAAGGCAGGAAGGCGGGAAGGAGGGAAGGAGGGAAGGAAGGAGAGAAGGAGGGATGGAGGGAAGGAAGGAGGGAGGAACAGAGGGAGGAAAGAAAGGAAGAAAGGAGAAAAGGAAGGAAGGGAGAGTTTTGGGGGTTGTTAGGGTGAAGGCATGGAAACGAAGGCTCTGGTAGACACCCCCCTTTGGAGGGGCAGTGAGGATGCTGCCCTGGGGGTAACCAAGGGTAAATTGTGCGAGGAACATAGATGGTACTAGAAAACAAGATGACAGCGGCTGGATTACGAAGGTCTTCACAAAGCAGGCAAATGAGTTCATATTTGGTTTAATAGAAAATAGGAAGTGAGAAAGAGGTAAGAAACATGATCTAGAATGCTGGCCAGCTGTGTCACCCGTGTGCCTTCCTGCAACAGTAGTGTCCCCGAGCTGGGCCTGACACCATTCTTTGGTGATGGAGGAATAAAGCCCAGTTGAAGAAACAAAAACATGTTCATGCATGGGAGTTACAAGACAAACCACAGCCGAGTCCAGGAATGTGTTTCTGATTGAGCAATGAAGACGTGTTGGTGGGATTTTGGTTGGGGTGGGTATGGGTGTCATCGCTGCCTCACAAGGTCTCCATTTCTACTGGCTCAGAAAAAGAACTTCGAGCAGTTTTTTGTTTATATGGGTCATCATTGTCTTCCATTTTTGTGGGGTTTTCTCGGAGCTTCTTGATGGTCTGCTAATACTAAAATAAATGTATTAGGCCTTTTGCGTGTCTCTTCTTTGCTGTCACTGGGTGATGGCCTTTGCTTCCTCTAACGGACATGTTCCAGGTTTGAGTGCGGAGTGGGCAGTCCCTGGCTGCTCATATCTGACATTGTTCTCTCCCTGTGTAGCGAAGGGAAATCAACAGCACGTGGGAGGGGGAATCTGCGTTCTAAGAACTGCTTTGGTTTACACATCTATAGATAACACTCAACCAGCACTGCAGGTCACATGGACCGGCTGGTGAGCCTGAGGATGAGTCACTTTTAAATTACTCATAGAGAAAGAAACATGTTTCTGAAAGCCAGAGTGGTTGGCTTCCACATGGAGGTGAGAGAGAAAGCAGGCGGCGTCATAAAGCGCGCAGATCTCCCGTGACAGCTGATGTCGTGTGTAGTGCGTCAGGTGGGAAGATGGGGCCTCCGTCCTGAACAGTGTTTCTGGAGGTGAGGCTCTCTGCTGATGGGAACCCCTGTGCTGGGGGTTGGGGGTGTTTAGGAATACATTTCCATCTAGCTAGTCTTTCTCTTACAGTCCCAGTAGCTAGATGGAAATACACTTCTCTTACGATCTCACTTTGTAAATGGCCCTAGGACCCTTGATTCACTTTCAGTAACACAGTCTAGTGGTGAACACCAAGCCGCCTGAGCCTGAAATATGGAGAAGTATGTCAGTCCAACAGAAGGTCAGGTGGGGAGGGGCGGGGAGCTTTCGGAAAGCCTTGGAGTACAAGGGCCTCAGCTGCGCCTTGAAGGTCTCCATTCATTGCAAAGGAGAAGGAATTCTGTCCCAAGAGAGATGGAAAGATCATCTGAGCAAAAAGAAAGCATCAGGGACAGAGGCTGCAACTTCATTTCATTGGTTGAGTCTAAATTTTTTTCACAGGAAAAAATATACAGAAGACAAGAGAACAATCACCAAGGGAGCCCAAGGCACTGCTTACTAAATTGGTCCAAGGGGGGATTTCACCAAATGCAAATGAACAAAGAACAATATATGTGACTCAAAATATCCGTTATGCTCTTAATACTTACGAGAGGGCGTGAGGCAGGGAGGTGACCTTTTCAAGGCTTGAAAGCTGTCAACTTTTCAACCACATTGTTTTGATTGCTGGGAGATTGAAGACAGGATCACCTCAGGGTACCATTGTGGAAAAGTGTTTTTTAAAAAAACTAAAAACTCCTTCCTGCATAATATTTTGGGACATTTAAAATTTTGTTTTTGCCTTGAAGACAAAACAATTCAGGTGTCTGGGACATACTGCAACCTTTTATGAGAAATGAATACCCAGAAGTCTGGAGCTGCCAGGTACCCACTCCGCGGATCTTCCACCTCTGGTCCCTCTGTGGCAGAAGGGATGGTGAGGAGTTTAGGACCCCTGGAGCAGGGGTACCCTTACCCCCACCCCAAAGGAAGCGATGTGGCCACGTTTTTCTCCCAGCCCCACTCCCCCGTCCCTTTGACAGGTCCCTAGACCAACAGAGTGCCCAAATGGAGACATCTTCCCCCCCTCCTGAATGTGCCACCATGGGGCAGACATTCCCTGAAGGGCTCCTCTGAAATCTGGGAAACAGGAAATGCTAAGAAAATCTCTAATTTGCTGGTCATGTGAACTCTCAGTGTTGCAACAGAATTTTGGAAGAGGGGACTCTGCCCTGTGGTTGAGCCTTCCTAGTCAGAGAGCATTTGCTCCTATGAGAATAATGGTGGATTTGACTATTCGGCCTCAACTTCCCTCTTTCTAAACGTGTAAACTCCACTGCCTAAAGAACAAAACTAGAAAAGAAACCCACTTGGTCTTAGTTGCATATCTAAGTGCTGCTGAGAGGGGCCCATGTGTCTGTCCCTAAAAAGCCCCTTTGGCATTCCATAACAGGACCCAACCCGTAGACCTGTCTGTGCAGGCTCACGCACCATCTTTGAAACCTTTACTACCTGTATTTGTAGCAGATGATTAATGATTGGGCTTTCTTCCCACACATTTGGCTCTGATAATCTCCACTCAGAAACATTCAGATGCAAATAATTTAAAAACAAAGTGGCTCCAAGGGCTCTTTCTGGGAGGATGGAAATACTGCACATCTTGATAGGGGAGTGAGTTCCAGGGCTGGGTGCCTTTGTCAATATTCATAAAACTGTACATATGATATATTCATTTTGTTGTATGTCAATGACAATGAAAACTCTTAAGATAATAAAGCGGGCTGAGTTTGGAAACCAGAAAAAGTGGACACGATGTAAACGGCCCCACTTAAACCGATTCACTTTGGCCAGCAGAAACTAAGAGATGCATCTGCCTGGGCAGTCCCCACGTGCGGGAAAATCTTTGCAAGGTGAGCAGATTCAGCTCCCCTCATACAGACTGCAGCTGATTCTGCACATTCATCTGTATTTTGTAGGAGTTTTTGGTGTCTTTGTGTCCATTTCTGTTTGGCTCATTTCCCTATTCAATCGGATTTTGACTTCTATTTCCTGCATACAACGCCCCCACAATACCTAATATCCCAAGCCTGTAAAAAGCGAATGCCTAATAAATGTCCACTCACTCACTGAGATGGAGTGCTTCCCCTCTCTCTGGAACATTCTATCAAAATTAGCCAGTGCATTTGGCCTTAAGTGCATTTGTAAAAATGGAAAGTAAAAGGAGGCACGTTCTTACTTGTACTGATTTTAAGAAAATTCCCAGTTATCTCTGCTTCTAAAAAATCCGTTCAGAACTTTTACTTTGGAAAAATTGCTTTTGCCTAACAGGAAAAATAAAACAGGGACTCCAGACGCAGGGACACCCGTGGGCTCGCGAGAAAACAGAGTGAATGTAGATGCCCTAATGGAGGCAAAGGTGCCCTTCCTCTCTCTCTCTTTCCCCCTTTTCGACGCAAATCAGAAGAGCGAGTGTGGAAATTCCTGCAGGTTGCTCTGTGTGGGTTTGCACGTTTGTAGATGGAGTTTCCTGCTTTTTCTCACTCATCAGTCTTTTTGTCACCATCTCATCTTGAAACTAGAGAGGAAGGGAATGGAAGGGCAAATTGCTAATATCAGAGGCTTCTGGAAATTCCCCTTTTATGGTACATGAGTCTTTAAGAATAGTTCTCTTTCAGTTGTGTTTTTGTGATTTCGGTGACACTCAGGGTGCCCAGCCCTGCCTCTCGTTAGACCCCGGTGTCCTTCAGCAGCTCTCTAGGGCCTGGGCTGGAGGCAGTGGGATGGTGGGGAACAGGAATTGCACTGCTTTGGAAAAACAGCCCAATAGAGATCCTTTTTAAAAAGCAGATCACCTGAGCAGAAATCTATACTCACATGATTTCAAACAATTCACTTATCTAGCATCTCTTATAAACGGATAAATCTCGCATGAATTAATGACTCACCAGTGCGTCAACGGTGGGCAGACAGGCAGTGCTATCAATTTCTATTGGCATTTTGTGTGTCGTTATATATTCAGTTCCAGTAAGAGCCTGGCTTCATTGAAGGTTAAAGGAAGAAGCTTTTTACCCCACATGGTTTCAGGCGATACTTTACTGAAGATGACTTAGACCTTGGCTTCTGGGGCTGGAACAGGCTTGCATCCACTGCGTAGACAGGGCCAGCACAGCTTCGAGGGGGGTCTCTGGAGGAAGGGGCCCCAGGAAGGAGGCAGGTCTTTCTCCTCACTGGCTGGCAGGCTGCCTGGGGGTCTTGGAGGGGCAAGTGCAACTGACAGCTGGTGTGGAGGAGAACATGTGACAGCCAGTCCCAAGGCCAGGCTATGAGGGACTATGCTAATTAGTGAAGTCCCTGCTAGGGCCTGGTCACTTGGCCACCTGACAAAGAGCATCTGGTTATTTCTGCCTTGGCAGAAGGAGAAGGTGCATGAATATTACTCATGAATACACCTCAAGGTACCACTAGGTTAGACAGCAAAGTACCTTCTCCATCCACTCCCCTATTCCTCTCTCCCGAAACGCCCTTTCAGTCTGCCCCTCCAGGTTTGGAAACCAAGAGGCTCTTCCTGTGTGGGGGTGGGGTGGCCCTAAGGAGAGTGGTGCCCCCCTGAGCCTCTGGGCTACAGCCTGTGACCCTCCTCACTCAAATGAATCCCTGGGTTCCAGGCCAGGTGAGTGTAGACGAACTTGGAGCTTTTCTTATGAAATGTCTTGAGTTTCTTTTTCCTGCTACGCTGAACTCTGTATATGTTTGTTCTTGTTCTAATTTTGGCTTAAGAAAAAAAAAAGAAAGAAAAGAAAAGAAAAAGAATGTTTGGGTACAGTGTAAAAGTTTTCTCAGATCCAGATTGGAAACTCCCTCATCACTCTGAAACCAGACAGGTGCTGAGCGGTATTTGTTTCTCTGTCAATAAACAGCATGTCCTTGGCCTAGACATAAACTCCCGTGGTAGCAGGGGTGCACGTGGGCCTATTTGAGTGTTTGGGAAGGACTGCGAGGCCCTGAATTAGGAGGAAGGCCTGCTTCTTGCCCCTTCTTTTTTGATCTTCTGATAGAGACTACATAGTGTTCTCTTCATGGTATTTTGATGGCATATGGTGTATAAACACAGGTGTGGTCTTTACACGGCGCACTGCCTTACAATTATAATAAGTGAGAGGAGATAAAGCCAGCTGGAGTTTAAGGTTAACGCTGAAAACAGCGAATGCTAATTTTCACTGAAAACAATGTCACAGAGCAAGGCGTAGGTGCCCCTTTTCAACTGCCACGTGCCTGGTTCTGGGAACAGCCCCAGGTGAAGGGTTTCCATGAAATAAGCCCCCTCCTGAGGTACAGAAATACTTAATGACACATCCTCTAGGGACCCCCTTTGGGACCACCCTCCTGGGTGGCCTATCCCAAAACCTTGTTTGGATGGGAAGGGAGCATTCGGTGACTTTACTTGCAACAGGGTACCATGATGTCTGGTCCTGTTTTCGGTGCTGACAGGCAGTTCACTTCTCTGGGACTTGGTGTCCTTGGTTTTAAAATAAGGGACTTTGACTGTATTCCTTCAGTTTCTTGCCTTCTGGTTTTTTAGACAAAGGCTCAGCTGGGAAGCCTAGCCCCAGACGCATACTTAATTCCTTGGGAAAAAAAATATTTGTCAGACCCACAATTAACTTAATTGTTTATTTGTGCAAAGGCTTTCTTGTTTAGCCCCAGGACGTGCTGTGGAAATTTGAAAGAGAGTGGCCTCAGATTCATGTTCACATGAGCATCTGCGGTGGCTACTCACCAGCCAGCTCCTGGGAGAGAAAATGGGAGAAGAAAATGAGGGCAGAAAACGGAGAGCAAACTCTCCAGGGTTTACGTCCCCGCCCGTGAGCCGCCTCCTGGGCAAGCGCTTCTACCTGGATCCCTGGCTGCCCGGGAAATGGGGGAAGTGGGTGTGGAGTCCCCTTGACTGTTATGAAGTCCGTGGGGTTGCAGTTACTGAGCAGAGCAAGAGGCAGCTCCCCGTCCCCCCACATCTGGACTTGGGAGGAGATTCCTTGACTTCTGAAAGGAGCTTCTGTTTCTGTTTATGTAAACATCAGGTGGACAGGGGAGGCCGACGCCAGCGTGGGACACTCTGGCAGTGCTCAGATGAGGGCGAGATTGGAGGGGCCAGTACAGGTGCTGGGCATTTGGGTGGCACCTCACAATCATCTAAGGCAGTGGTTCTCCATGGGGGTGACTTGGCCTCCCCGGGGACATTTGGCAAGGTCTGGAGCTGGAGATATTTCTGGTGGTCACACTAGACCAGGGTTTCCACTGGCATGTTGTGGGCAGAGGCCAGAGAAGCCGCTAAGCATCCTGAGTGCACAGGGCAGCCCGCCCTCCCCCAACCACGAATATCTGACCCAAAATGTCAGTGGATCTAAGTTCTAAAGCCTACTAATAGTTTGTAAGTTGAAAACACTAGACTGACACAAACGGGAAAAGTTATTTGCAGTTTATTCTCCTAAGGGACAATGGACTACCACTCCCTTCCCTGCTATTGCCAGGTGAGACTTTTGTGTTAGCTCTTGCTCTCTTCTCTCTGACTGCCCCCCGCCCCCGCCGCCACCAATGCCCTCCAAGCCTGTGTTTTGTGTTTTGTTTTTTTTTTTAATTTTGCTTTTCAGCAAGCCTCAAGCATATAAACTGGGACACTGAGGGCTAAAATGGTCTTTGGTCTCTCTTGAGAAATTCTCTCAAGCAAGAAAAAGAACAAGAGTCCCAAGAACACCACGTGCCCCTCATCTTGGTCACACCAATGGTCCACAGTGGCCTGGGGAGGCAGGAGGGTCCTGGGAGACCGAGGATGCGCCTGTGACCTCTGAGGAGAACCTGAGTGACGGCCCCAGGAAGGGAGAGGGTGTGCCAAGCATTCGGGAAAGAAAGGAGGAGAGGGTTCAAGGTGACCCTGAGCTTGGGACAAGATCTGCAGGGTCTGCGATTGGCAGAGTGGCTGGCATCTGGCCAAGGAGCCCTCCTCTCTTTCCCCTCCACCACCTGCTCCTGGTCGTTGCATTGCCCATTCTTCCCAGCCTCTTCTCACCAGCTTGCCCTTCCATCCATCTCAGCCAACAGCCCTACTCTTCCCTCCCATGCCAACTGGGGGCAGCAGAGAGCAGCAGAATAGCCTAAGCCAATAACCCCAGGCTCTTCGCCATACCTCCCCCTCACTCCTGGGTCCCTGTGGCCTCCATCTCAGCAGCTGGATCCTCTCAGACCCTCCTTTCCCCACCAAGCTCACCCCCCCACTAAGGGTCCTCCCCACTCAATGCACAGCACGTCCTACACCCACCCAACATCAATCACGTCATCTCATTACTCATCTGATACTGTTGGCTTGCAGAACAGTTTCTCACCTTTTCAAATGAGGATTTGTTGCCTCCTCAAGTGGACTGTCCCAGGGCCACACCTGCTGTAGCCCTGCTGTCCTGAGCCTTTCCCAGAATCTCATGTCCAGCTCAGTTTTGTTGATTGACTGGGGACGAAGGACGCTGCCATTTGCTACCTGTGCCCACTCAGTGCCAACCTCCACCGGATATTTGCCACCATGAGCCTGTGTCGGTCTCACCCAGCCTTTGTGGTTGATGCTGTAGCATTCTCTTATTTTTATAGAAAAATAAACTCAGAGATATTAGATATCTTGGCCAAGGTGAAGCTGTGAAGACTTGAGAACATAACTGAACATTCTAGTCCCCTCACCCCCCAGGGTGTTGCCATCCCAGTGCCAGAAGGTCCAGAGGTTCTTTTGAGATGTGTAATGAATCCATCTTCCTTGAGCATGACACAAGCTTTATGGACGTCTTTAAATAGTTTTCATTTCCATGTGTTTATTCATTCATTCTGCAAACATGTACAGCTTTTACAGGGCGCCAGGCACTATCAGAACTAGGAAAACAGAGGTGAAGAAAATGTAGCCAGCGCCCCCAAGGAGGGGAGAGACAGGTGGCAGTGACTTCACTGGAGAGCCTCAAGGGGGCAGAATAACAGCGTGATGGGGAGGTGGGGACTTGGAGAAAGGCTTCACAGAGGAGGTAGTATTTGAGCTGAGTTTGGAGAGGTGTGCAAAAGGCAGAGCAGCATCCCAGCCTGAGGACACATGTGAGCTGGGATCTGCAGAGGAACGAGGCTGCAGCTGATGCTCCCGGTAATCATGTGGAGTTCAAGGCAAGCGGTGGGTGTGGGGAGAGGGGAGGCTGGAGGCATGAGTCAGGGCCAGCTCACCCTGGAGATAACAGGAGCCACTCTGGGCATTTGGATAAGAGAGAGGGACACAACTGCCTAGCAGACCCCCTGGGAATACTCCAGAGGGAAGCTGAAGGGGCAAGATGAGAAAGATCAGTTTGGAGCTTCTTGACGCTGTCTAGGTAAGCCATGCAGTGGGGTAAACAGAGTGGGACTGGAAAGGAGAGACATCCTAAGAGACTTCTGTAAGGTGGGGGTGACAGTAATGGTGTGTCCATTGGAGGAGAAGAGGGAGGAGTTGAGGGTCTCTCTGGTTCTTCTGCTAGGACGTCGGTTGAGGGCAGTTGAGGGCAGTCAAGGGGACTGATTGGACCCTCAGAGGCAGATTTGGCAGAGGCTTCATCAGCACTGTGTTGGATTTGATGGACCTCATGGCTATGCAGATCTGTTTGGTTGCAAACTAGGGTTTGAGGCTCATAAGAGAGTCAAGAGTCATCAGACTAAAGGCCCCACAATACGATTATAGCTGAATCTTTTCTATACCGTTAAGGCTTCATGAACCTCCCCAACAGCCACATTCTGGCCTGTCCTTCCCAGTCATTATTGTCTTCTAGAAGCCTGCTTTGTCCTATTTCAGCTGCCCTCCTCTGGACCCACCACTGGCTTTTTTGAGTAGCCAGGTCTGTGTAGAGAATTCTGGATGGAGGATTCTAGGTGGGGACCTCAGAGCTTAGTACTACGTCCAGTGTTCTTGCTGTTGGGTAGGAAATCCTGCCTTGATGAGTCTCCGTATTTGGCTGGCCGCTCTGCCCTGATGTTTTCAAGAAATCACTTCAGCTAACTCTAGAACTCTACTTCCAGGCCCATAGCTGATGGTACACAGGTATTGAGTTTAGTTTGAATTTTTTTCTTCAAGAACTTACCTTGACTAATGATGTTAGAAAATAAGATCCTAAAATTAAAAATTACAGACTCTGAAAAAAAGAGCTTTACTGGCTTCAAAGGTTTTACACAACTCTTTTCACATATGCATTTCCTGTAAGCGCCTTGTAAATAAAGAAGGTACCTGGGAAAGGAAAATTGCGATCTCTGCCAGTTCAATGAAAACATGAACGAGGAATGAGAGGGAGTCGTGAGTGAATCCCAGTCCCTGTGCTGCCAGACGCTTCACAGAAGTCATTTCATCCTCCTGGCCACCCCACAACTACGGCCTTTTATTTATCAGTTTTATGAATTCACAAATTTAAGTCAGAGAGGTTAAATAACTCATCTAACATGAGTTAGATTTAAGCACTGCAGAGAAGGAGAGGAGAACCGATATCTTGTTCAACTCACTGACGCAGCTAGTAATTTGCAGAGTTGAGTTTCAGGCTCGGATCTGTCTGATTCTGACGTTTGTGCTCTTTCTTCTCCATTGCTGCAAGCATGGGCGAGATGAGAGCATTCTGGGGAGGGTGAAAAGTGAGAGGCAGAGGCAAAGCCTGAGTCAAATCGTTTCTCAGATGAGAGAGAGGAGGCAGGCAGTGGATATTTGTGCAAGCAAGTTGGATGCCGTGAGAAATCTGAGCCGAAGTTATGTGGGTCTACTTCCCTCTTGCAGTTTCTGCTGAAGGAGCCATTCTCAGATAGGTGGAAAATGCAAATACTGAAGAAATGGTGAAGCATTATCACTGGATCGGTCCAGCATCCTGCTGTCATGGGTGGTGTGCAATTTCACCCAACCCAAGTCATTACATCTTCCAGGAGAAATGGAGCCTGTAGTAGGCAACTGAGGACAGGCACATAGGAGTCATTGCTTTGCCTCCTGGGAATGCTTGGCCCTTTCTTTTTCAGTAGCAAGAAGATTTAGGAGCAGCACTCTACATGTATGTTGGTTGTTTGGCTTTGTACACAAATGTTAGAAAATTATGGATTTGGTCATTGTTATGTCTGTTTGCCCTCACTGGACTTGACTTAGGAATTGTTCTTTAAAGTGTCAGGCATTTTAGAATAAGTTTGGGGAAGGTATTTACAAATTACTTAAAAACTTTCATTTTACAACTTTCTTAAAAGAGAGATGTTTTTAAAATTTCAAATACCTAGAATTGGGCAAACGAGGTGTTGTCAAGTAGTGTCTCTGCGGAGCAAATAATGACCACATCAAAACCCCAGCCCCAAGGAGGCAGGCTCTGATTCTGCTCCCAGAGCAGCACGTTGGTGTGGTGTCAAATGCATGTTTCTAAAGAACTCAAACATTGTTTTCTCTTAGTGAGATAAACAAACTCCGTGATGTCTATTCATGACCCGTTGTTAGTGAGTCTCTTGGAAGTCATACAAAGCAGTAAGAACACGAAGATGTTTGCAGGTTGCCTTTGAGTAAAGCCCCTCTGTTTTGATTGAAGTCTCAGATCCCCAACTTCACCCCCTACTTGCAGTTCTGAGACTATTTCTCTGATTGTCATCCAAAACTGTCCTGCCAACTGCTATAGATTAAATATGTAGGGAGCAGCTACTATTTGCTTTTTCCCTTCTGTGAAGGAGCCTGGCCATGACAATTAGCCAATGAGCTCATTTAACTCTGTTTTCTAGCTCATTTATCCAAGGGCTCAGTGCACCACTGAAAACCTTCATCTAACAGAAATCCAGTGTTTGGGGGGCGTTTGGTTTCAACTTGCTTTTGTTTGAACATTTATATTTACAATAGTGCTAATCTCTAAGGGACTCACATCACATTAAGAGCTTTATCTTAGGCTGCCAAGGAAACTAGCATGTACCCGCATGACTGAGAACTATGAGAAACTGGGTTGGGCCTACAGAAATTTAATAAGCTCCGATTTTCATTTCAATTATCTTTTCCATGAGATTTTGTTTTGAAACCCACAAAGTCAGGCCAAGCCATTAGCATTCCCTATGTACACATTTTTCCTCCCTCTCCAGCCTGTGCTGTCCCCTCCCCTCACCCCCAGCCCCTAATCTGTCCTCACGCCTCTTACTGGAGTAAACTGGCCCTTCTCTGAACCCTCATAACCACCCGTTCTGCCACCAGGACATTCTTGCTTATATGGCTTGCTCCAGACCTCATAGAGGAAGAGGAATGGTTGCATCTCTGTCTTGAATCCACCCCAGGGTTTAGGTCATGCCAGTTATGTTACAGATGCCCAGTAATTTCTGCTGGGTTCAGATGTTAGTCAGTTACCGGGTAGATTGGTGTTGGGGGAGGTAGCCCGGCCATAGGCAAAAAAGTAGCTTAGGGTCACCGCAGTCAGTGTGGAGAAGGGAAGTTTGGGGGGAAATCTGGACAGATGAATTTGACCCATCTATGAGGCTAATTTATAGAAAAAGCACAAGAAGGGGAAAGATTTCTTTCAGTAATTAGAGATCAAAGAGAAGCAGAGAATGGCCCTAACTGCATTATGGAAGAGGAGACCAAGATGACTCGAGAAGTTGTTTGTTGAAGGTACAAAGAGAACTCAGTATGAAAAGAGGCACATTTTCCTTCTCGGTGGAGGCACGGCTTAGTAACCTGTGAGGGGTGTTGCCTCTCATGCTAGAAAAATGTGACAGCAGTAGCCAGTGGAGGTTGGAGACCCAATATCCCTTCTCACCCCAAAACCTGATAACTCATTCTTAAGCATCAAACCTTATTGTCCAGTATTTCTGGACATTTTTCTGCCAGAAGTCTCCAGAATGTGTTAACTAAGCTTCAGCCTTTGGGGAATTCATATTTAAATCTTTCTTTTTTCCACGTGGAGACTGCTAGAATATCAGACTGAAACAACTCACAAGAAGGCTGAGCAGAGTCTAGTTCTAGAACTTGTGGCAGGCTCATGAGGCACAGAAAATACACAGAGGTGACGGTTTCACAGAGGAAGGGGAATGTCACTCCACAGAAAACTGGAGGGAGCCACGAACATGTGGAGACAAAGTGGAGAATGGCAACCTCAGACGCAGAGGGAAAGAGAAACAGGAGAAGATGTACATAGCAATAGAAGAAACTTCACTATGCCTGTTGGGCAGCAAAGTGATTTTTCTGCTTTTCTTTGAGCCTTCCTGGGCCCACAGGTGTTGAAGGTAGGAGCAGAATTCATGCACTGGAGTCCACTCTTCAGCTGGGTGTTGCTGAAGAAGAGAAGGGAAACCTTAGCCATCTTGCCACCAGATCACTCTCTTTCATTTTCAGGCTGACCCAAGCAAAAGGGGGGAAAAATTGCATCTGGACAAGGGAAACTTCTCTCCCTGTACCTAAAAGCCTCATATCAGACCGGGCATGGTGACTCGCGCCTGTAATTCCAAGCAGTTTGGGAGGCCAAGCCAGACAGATCACTTGAGGTCGGGAGTTTGAGGCCAGCCTGGCCAACATGGTGAAACCTCCTCTTAAAAAAAAAATACAAAAATTAGCCAGGCATGGTGGTGGGTGCCTGTAATACCAGCTACTCGGGAAGACTGAGGCAGGAGAATTGCTTGAATCCAGGAGGCAGAAGGTGCAGTGAGCCGAGATTGCACCACTACACTCCAGCCTCGGTGACTGACAGACGGAGACTCTGTCTCTAAATAAATAAATAAGAGCCTTATGGCAGGAGGACCCTTTCTGTAGAGAGCCATATAGTTAAGCACTGTGCTTGTTCCAAGCAAAAACTCGAGCAAGGGCTAGAAATCAATATTATTAGTGACTTCTCTCGTCTTCACTGTAAATCCTCTGCCAGTCTCTCATAACAGTGTTACTTTTCATGCCTGAAATGAAAACTGGCAATTCCATCAAGCAAAGGGTTTGAAAGGAAGGCTGTGTTATTGCATGATTATCTGGACTCTCCCTGTAAATACGTAATGGTTCCAGCTTCCCCTCACATGGGTTGAGTGTAGCAGAATGACATCTCCCTGGGCGAGGGAAACAGAGACAGAACAAGGCAAAGTCAACAAGTCAAAGTTACAACTTACACAAGTGGCCCCGCGCTGGTGTGGGTCTGTGGCCTGTTAGGAACTGGGCCACACAGCAGAGGTGAGCAGCTGGCCAGCATCACTGCCCAAGCTCTGCCTCCTGTCAAATCAGTGGCGACATTAGATGTTCCTAAGAGCGCAAACCCTGCTGCAAACTGTGCACGCGAGGGATCTAGGTGTCACGCTCCTTATGAGAACCGAATGCCTGAAGATCTGTGTTGGAACAGTTTCATCCTGAAGTGCCCCCACAGCCAGTTCATGGAAAAATTGTCCTCCACAAAACACATCCCTGGTGCCAAAAAGGTTGTGAACGTCGGACATAAATGAGCTTCTTTTCTCACAATGTAAACATTATCAAAGAGACAGAGGTGTTAGCGTAAGCACGTGGCTGCTCCATTCACGCTTATGACTTCGTGGCTCTGGGAAGGCCCATTTAGCTGGGAGTTGTAGCTACATTTAGGGAGGCCACGTGATTGAGTGGAAAGGCAGGATATTTTATGTCAATTCTGGGTTTGAGTTCCGGTTTCATCATTGATTAACTAGGTGTCCTTGCAGAAGTTAAGTATTCTTGGTCATCTGTAAAAGAGAGGTGATGGCAGTGATAACTTATCTGTGGTTTGTTGGGAGGGCAACGCCAGGTAATATATATGGAAGCGCTCTCTCCGCAGCGTGCCACGTGCTTATTTGGTTTTGTGTGTAATTGACACATCTGTAGTAATGAGAGCACGAAGGGTATTGTTTCATCCTCAGGGTTTGTTCACTGTTTTTATTTTACAACCTTGTTTTTAAATCCTACTATGTTCCAGGCAGCAGGGCAGAGGCCAGGGAGGTTCGTTGCCACTTCGCAGTATCTCATTGCATCATTGAGAGGTTTACTCCCGATCCAGCACCAAACAATCATGTTTGGCCTTTAAAAGATGAAAGTCCAAAAGTCCAAGAGCCAGAAAGATTAAGGATTAAGCTAATTTTTAAAATAACAAATGTTTTCTTATATTCTCTTCTCATTTATGTGGTGCTGGTAACTTTTTAAATTAGATTTTCCTCTGGGCATTTTATATTAAAAATGATACAGTTCCCCATCCCTCGTAATTGCATTTCTTTTGATTTTCTTTTATTATGACTTGCATATCACTGACACTTTTTCCTGGAATGTTAAAAGTATAGATCATCTGGCTAAAAGGGAAAAATACTGACTTAATAAAAATGGAAAAGAGAGAGAGAGAGAAAATGGATATTCTTATTTTTTTGTTCCAAATAAGGCAGAGTCCTCATTCCTCGTTCTTCATACATGCCAAGGTTGATGTCATGGATCCAAACCAGTTTTGAGTTATCTGAAATTGGTTGTGGGGGGAGCGCAGTTCAACAGTCTTCTGAAGCTTGAAAAACAAATTTGTCACAGTCTGATAACCCAAAAATGACTGATGGATTTTCTCTGTATTTTCCAAGCAGGGGTCGGGCATGAGAAGGAAACATTCTGAGAAAAGACTTAAATGTGGAAACTTTCTGTTCAAGAGGGTGTTCTGGGAGATACAAGGCATATCTCCTGGGGGCGTCAAATGGGTATAACACGGTCATCTTGAGTGATGTATGGTTCTGTTGCCTGAGGAATAGGGATGAAAACCATGAACTCCTTTGGTTGGGGTATTAACTTCTCATCAAAAGTTACCATAAATAATGGATATTGTTTATGTCTGAGATGTAGGACACATCCAGAGAAGACATCCCTTAATTTTTCATAAAATCGTCTCAGTGTTATCGGAATATGGCTTTCATGCCATTTGAGCTGTCTGAATATCTACTGGGTAGATTCTTAAGGAGAAATAGTTGGGACTTTAGAAACCCTGCCTCGGATTCTAATGTCTGGTGGCGTGAAGGTTTTGGCTCATGTTTCTTTTGATGTCTAGAATATCAAGAACATTCCTAGCTTCTGTATGACAGCAGGTCACGTCCGGGCTTCTTCTAGTAAAGCCCCCTCTAGGATTCAAGCCTCTATTTGCACCAGTGATAAACGTGATGGCACATTGTGACTTTGAATGCCAGCCAGCAGGGCTGCAGGCACCTGTTTCTCCCCGTGCCCCAACTGTATCAGACCCTTTTCATCCTCCCTGCTTTTCATGCACAAACATAAAACGGAGTCCCAGAATCTAAAAGTGATGTCACTTGAGTGCTACCAAGGGCCTTTAGAGGACCGTGGGGCATCTCTTCCTGTTACAGATGAGGCTCTCACAGCCTGGAGAGGTGAACGCCTGGACCACAAGTGGAGGAACTGTGAAACGGGTGTCGACACTCAGACCCCACAGCTTGCCATTGTGTGGCTTGTGATAGAACCGGGGACATCAGAACAGATCCGCTTATCTGGTTATAAATCTAGGATAGCCTGATGAGCTCCAGAGCCGGGGGCTGAGCTCTGCTGGGACTCCTCCCTCCGAAGGATTCGTTCCATTGCCAAACAGTAACATCTTGGAATTCTTGCTTTCTTGTCGAAAGGTATTGTAGACGTGATGGCAGTGAAATTATCTCCTTTTTTTGCATTTAAAATTACCCTCAATAAAATCACCTTTTTCAAGTGGTGTACCAAGTTAGTGAAACATACCTGCTTGAATCTGCAATCCATCAACCGTGAACTTATGCCTGGGGATCAGAAATTTCTTAAAACCCACCAGGCATGTGTGTGGAATGACCCTAATACTTCTCCCACAGTTTCCCGGGGTGTTTCAGTAGGTTAGGATTACCTCCAAAGACATTTAAATGATGTTTCACGTTCAAACGGAAATGAAAAACACATAAAATTGTAAGACTTAAGAATTCCAGGAATTTGGCAGAGGTGAAAACACACAAAGAAAAGATGAAATGTAGACATTTTTATTCTGTTCATTTATCCCGCACAAATCCTTCTCCAGTTGTCCCATAACCACAGTGCCAGCATTTAACTCCGCAAGGGTTAAAGGAGGTTTGTAGAGCAAGCCTCTGGCTGACTGCAGCGTGGATCGCAGGCCTGGCGTCCTGTCAGACTTCCACCGTCAAACGGTAACCTCAGTGCTTCAGTTACCTTGCTCCGTTTCTTGTGGGGCTCAGGGGCAGCCCGCATTTCCCCATTGGTGTCCATGACCAGGGTCCGTCCTCCAGGAGGTGGGCTGGAAGGTCCCTCGAAGCTATGGCCAAGCCCTGGCTGTGGCTGGAGAAGTCTCACTTGTTCCACGTGGCCAACACTTATTTCTTTACATATCTGAGGGAGTGGGGAATCTGTGTCTTCCAGGAAACCTGGGCTCTGAGCTTTCTGTCCTAGAGTGCAGCAGGCAAATGGAGAACGAGTTGGGAGATCGGAGCTGAGGAATGAACTTCAGCTGATAAAATGCAAGACAAGAGGGGAACGGGAAAGCAAAGGACAAAGTGAAAGAGAAAAAAA